TCATCCGATTTTTTTCGCCCTCTGCGGAATCCGCCAGAGTGGAATCCTTGATAAATCGACGATCCCGATGATTCAAGGCAAGGATCTCGGTGACTCTGCACTAGCCACCTGCTAAGAGTACAATCGTGTTTTCCGAGGAGTTTCGAAACACGTCAAGGAAGTTTATTCTCGCGGTACAAAGGGACAATTTATTCAATTAACGTCCTCGGATCTGTTTTCGTGCCCCAAAATAGGCGTTTCGGGTCCTCCCCGAGGGTTTCCCCATTTCACCCCGTTCTTTCCCCACCTCAGGAATGCGACGGTGACGTCCGCGTGCTCCTCACACACAAGACGCTCTGGAAGGGAGAAAAAAGACGGGAGAGAGCGGAAAACCGACGACGATGAGGATGTCTGGTGAGTCTGAATCACGTGACCTTCGTATCAGGTTCATTGTTTTCCCAACCTGTTTCATTAGACTCCGCCATATATAGGGAATCCAGGAGGGAAAAAAAGAAAAGAATGAGATGTAGCCAGTCTAGATAGCCGAGGCAGAGTGGCAAGGTCATCTCCCATGCCAAGAGAGAATGGTATGGAGAAAAAAGACGTCGTCGCGCTTATCTCTCTATCGGAAGAGAGCTAAAGGCGTGGCTCCTCGCCGAAATGGGAAACAATCTATTCCCCCTCGCACGAAGGCTAGGCCCTAGGCTCTATGTATCGTGGGTGTACAAATATTGCGTGTCATAGGAAGAAGGATCGGCCTACCGTAAGGGAGAAAAAAAAAGGTACAAACGACGTCGACCCCTTTCAGAGGCCGTATCGCATTTTCGATCGAACGATGAAAATGCCGTTCGCGTTAATCGAGGCGACGCTTTTAACGAGGCTGCCTTTAAATCGGATTCGTATCGAACGAACGTTTCGCCACCGCCCCGCGACCGATTCGACACGGTCTGAGTTCACGGGCGACTCCCATACCCGCCGAATTACCGGCGCCGATGAGACCCCGCACGCGCGGCAATCACCAGGCAACAGGGCGGCGATGCTGCCGGAGAGGAGCCAATCCGAGTGGAGATGGCGTTTGTCGTCTGCTGCCAGCACGGCCCGCGCGAGAAGGCGGGTCTCGCGTCGGCCTTGTTGCCGGGAAGGAAGCGGAGGGAGAAGCAGATGCATTCTCGGAAGCCGTGAGCCCACGGGCGATGTCGGCGGCAGGAGGTCGCTTCCGCCGATCCGGTCGCTCGGCCGGAACGGCATGCGAGCGCGTATCGGAAAACGATCGATCGTCGCGGCTCTGATTCCCGGGTTCGCGCCTCTTCGTCGGCACGTGTTCCGCCGGTCACGGAGAAGAAATCGAAAACCGAAGACGAAACGCGCCTCGTTGCATCCATCCGATAACGGGACGGAATGTCGATGGGTACGAAGACCGAGCGCGCTCGAGCGTTGCATGAACTCTCTCGACTGCTAAACTGATCGATGGACAGGCCTAGGAGGCGATTACATCGAGGTTTCGGGTCACAATGCGAATCGGACCCACATCGCAGCGGCATCGCCGGGACCCCTTCCGACGAGGCAACGTGGCGTGGTGGAGCCACGTTAATTGCATCGTGAGCGGTGGGGGGGATCTGCAAACACTCGGGTCGCGCGGGTCGGGGTTAGGGGGAGATGGAACCGATACGAGGTGACGATTCGCGAAAGGAAATGTATTCGTGGATGCGTTTCCCGTTTTTTAATGAGCTCTAAGAACGAACTCGTGAATTCGTTTTGCTCGGCGTGACGAACGGATCGACGTGTGGTTGCCGACGGAAGAGAGTTTAACGCTTCTGACGGCCGACACCCACGATGGACGGGCGGAAGAAACCCCGTTTGGAAAACGTGCAGCATTTGCTACCGTGATCGGAGGAAAGGTGCGGGATCGTAACCCGAACGGACGCGAGAGGCACCGCGTTGCGAGGGAGACGTGCTTGCGCTTCTCTGCTCCCGAATCTCCGTGTACGTACAGGGTTTGCCAAAATCATCTTCCAGTTTTATGCATCGCATGTGCACCGCAGACCGGTGGGCCTCGAAAAGGGTAATGTAACACTCGTAGAGAAAGTGACGTGTGTCTCCGACCGACGGTCCGCGTAGTTACCTCGAGGCGTATACGACGCTCGGGCCCGTAGACGCTCGTGACGCCTGGCTTCTCCGCGTCACGCGTTTCGAGAGACTTCTCGTCCGATCGTCGGTGAGGTACTCGACGGGATGGTTGCATCGAATCGCAGGACAGAAGTGAGAGTTTTCCCTCGCGTCTTTGCAAATAACCCCTCGGAGACCGTCGATGCAGTGACGCGCTGTCGCTGCACCGAGTACGTGATGTGCAAAAATGTCGACTAGCCCCGTACCGTATCTGTACCTGCCGTGTGAGGGGATGCACGTGTGCTATGCGGTCGTAGGCCGCCCTTGAAAAAAAAAAAAAAGAGGGGAAAAAATACCGAGCGGTCTGTCCTGCTCGTGTGAGTGAGGTGTGTGAGTGTGTGTGCATCCGATGCATCGAAACTGCACTCCAACCAGATCGCGTGTGTGTGCGCGAGTGTTCCCGCTCTCGCTTACTCCCCCACTCTCGGGACTGCCTCCGTCGGGGCAGGCCGTACGTCAGCATCCATTTTCCGGGGTGTCCGTGGGCGGTGGTCACGACGAGAAGGCTTCCGTACCGAGGCTGGCCCTTTGGTCACTGGAGTCCGAAGACCCAGAGGCGATCACGTGTGCGGCCGAAAGAGTGGGATGGGTTCGCGTGCGTGCGTGTGTGTGTGTGCGTCTCTCTGCCTCTCGAGAGTCTGAATACTTAGGCCTATATCCGAGTATCGATTCCGTGGCTCTTCAATAATGGATGGGTGGGAGAGCCGGGGACGACACGCTGTTATATCGGGGATCGTTTATCCGGTCCTGTCTTCTGCCACCGAAGCCTCATGGTTCTTTTTTTCTCTCCGTGTAGATTCCGAAGTCGAGTCCGACTCGGGGGTCTCCTCCACTTCGCACATTCAACGACCCTCGTCCACCTGTGGCATGTTTGACCATGAACGCGGTGAGTCCATCGTTTGCGGAAACGCTTTCGCCTCGTCGTCGAGGGTTGGCTTTTCGTTTTCCCTTCGCGCGGGAGATACGCTCGTGCCTGTCGACGTAAGCGGGAATGCACATGCTCGTGCTTCCCATCTCGTTCCTGCGAGACAGGCGAGATAGGAGACCGAATCCGAACCAGCCTGTTACATCGCGTTGCATGTATGCTTCGACCTTTTTAATGATCCGGGCCCACGGAATGGAATGACGGGCCGTTTCCGTTCGTCCTTCACGTGACCGAAAGGCAAAAATTACGAAGATGTGCGGTCATACGACGTCATCCGCGCGGTGTCGCCGAACTGGCCTTCACCCAAGAGAAATAATTGCTCATCCTGTCTTTTTTCCCCCACTTAGCTCTCCCTCTCCCTCGGAGACAGGTTCCTCTATTTCGCATTTATCGCGTCTGGATATCTCGAGAGCGAGACTCGTTCTCTCTTCTGCCTCGTACCGGAAGCCCCGGGATTGGATGGCACTGTTGCAGCTTCCACTTGCGGCGGCCACTTACGATCCCGCTGTCGCTATGTGACGAGGCGTCGTATGTGGCATTTAATGTCGGAGGAACTTCGTGACGCGCTTGGGGGGGGGGGGGGGGGGGGAGGAAGCTATTTTTCCTGCCACGTGCGCTCGCTTCCGAGGCCTTCACGTCAAATGTCTTTCGCGTGGATTCCCACAATTTTTTTTTATCTTCTATCTTTTTTTGACATTTTAGAGAAGGCGCTTGAAATCGACGGCTTTGCGTCGGTTTAACGATTACATGGCACATTTTAAAGTTGAAGCATGGTGTCTCGAAGTAACCTTTTGAAGTAGTGTTGTAATGCTCGTTCACATATAATAAACGTTCACATAGCCGTGGTCCCTCAGAAGAAAAGTGCTATTGTTAAATAGAATGTTTCAAAACATCGATGATCGTTAAAGGTTTTTCGATGTCTTATGGCCTAATTCCGACGCACGTCAGTACTTCACATGCCCACCGCTACGTGCAACATATATACACAGCTGGCAACCGCGAAAAAAGCGTTAACATAATTTCCGGACACCCTGTAGTCACGGGTGGTAATAGCCTCTCTCTCTGGCAGCTTCCGCGCAAGTAACTGCCAGATTTTTGTTTGACGCATACCTTATCCCAACACGACGCTTTACCGGTTGTTATGTAATAAGTGCTGGCGCGAAACAGAATATTCTTATCCTTGTATGGATGCGAAGTCGAGATGAGATCGACTTTTCGTGTGCAGACGTGAACCATGGAGAAATAGATGTGTGCCTAAAGGCCAATTCCCGCCTTAATTTTTCTCGGAAGAAGAAAGGAAGGGGGCGGGGGCGGGGGCGGGGGGGGGGGGGACGGTTGGGCAATTGGGAGGTCAGGCACCGGACAGAGCTGGTTGCAGTTGGCATCCAGCGCCCGTGGCTAATTTAGCACAGACGGGCTGACCTGTAATAGCCTCGTTTCCACACGAGATGATGCCAGATGACGTCTCTCTCGACGGGGAGACTTGGGTCCCGCAGCGAACACCGGATTCCCTGCCAAAAGTCGCCTATGAATTTCTATAGTGGTGGGAGATAGCTCGAGACGAACGGCTCATCTGCGTAACCGTAATGTCATCGTAACTCTTTTTCATGCATGGATGGAAAGGGATACATTTTTCTTAACACAATCACTGCCAAGTTCGAAGTAAGACGTTCCCATGCCGAGCATTTAAAGATATTTAGAAAATATAAAATTAATGCAAAATTAATCTCTAAAATCATTTAAGCCGAGCACGTGAAATTTTCAACACATCTTCACAATATTCACGGTATATAGCACAAATGGCGTTCTCCGTTTTTGACTGTATGTAGGCTACACCGGGTGGGCCCTAAAAACCAGACTATTTTCAACGATACATTGCACTTCCCGCACTGCATATATATTAATGCGGTTTGCGGCATTTGAAAGAGGAATGAGTAAGCTTTAAAATGGTATATTTACATTTCAAATATCTTAAACAGTTTCAGAAATTTTGGAGCTCATATGAACAACGAACAAAAACTGCGTTTTCGCGCTTTCAGACAAGAGACAGCATGTGACCTTCAGCCACCGTCTGTCCATCCCTGTCCCGTTCTGTTGCAACGTAATATTTGCTAGGTGTGTATATATATGAGCCCACGAATTTCTAAAACTGTTGGGTATATTTGAAATGTAAGTACGTCATTTTTAACTCTTTCAAATGCGGCAAACCGCATTAATATATATGCAGTGAGTGTAACATGGTATATCGTTTGAAACTTTTTTTGGCCCACCGTGTATAGCGCTAACAACAGTCAATTTGGTAAAAGAGTGTCATCTATGACTGGAGAATATGGATTAAAAATGTCTGCACATGAGCATCCGTAAGGTAGTTCTCAATTATTGCTGTTTAAGCATATGGTGGTCTCTGATGGAAGTAGCGACTGTGCACAAACTGAAGAAAGTTTATTGTGAACAGGTGCATTACCCGCATCACCACCACTCTTAAGAGGTCGTTTGTGAGCGTTTGGAGTTGAGATTGCAGAGTACTTAGACCAAAATTTTCATCAGAAGACAAATGATACATGTGTTTATTGTAGAAGATACGGAAGGTAACGAAGGTACGTGCGCATACTTGGATGAGTGGAGGAAGAAATTCGAGTAAATATGCTGACAAATTTGACATCCAGAAAAAAAAAACAGAAACTGTATAACTCTGACGGCTTGTGAATTACTTTTGAAGTCATGTCTCAGGAAGATTCCTCGTGTTTTCCACCTGTCAACCATTTTTTCACCTGTCCCTTTTGCCCATGCATGAGAAGTGCTCCGTGCACGGGTGCCGGAATAATATGAAAATATGTCTCCCGAGTGAAAAACATAGAAAAACAACGAGGAGCTCTTCGTCATTGGTTCTGGTGTGTTCTCATTCAGGTGGAGCAATGGATGCTAACATCACACTGTGGCAGTTCCTATTGGAACTGCTGTTGAGCAAGGAGCACGAAGACATCATTGCATGGACGAACCAGGAAGGGGAGTTCAAGCTGATCAATGCCGAGGAAGTGGCTCGACTTTGGGGTCTCAAAAAGAACAAGTCCAATATGAACTACGACAAACTCAGCCGAGCCCTCCGGTACTACTATGACAAGAACATCATCAAGAAGGTCATGGGCCAGAAGTTTGTTTACAGGTCTCATCAGCTCACACCCTCCTCACTCATCACTCATTCTCACGTTGCAGAAGTTCTCATGCATATCCATCTTTTGGGTGTTTTCAGGTTTGTGTCATTCCCGGACGGTGTGAAGCAAGAACTGCCCCTCACGTACATGAAGAGTCACATCATGGGGAATCACCGGGATCCAGCCATACATGAGGCATCGCTTCCTCCTAGTCCTCGGTCTCCACCTTATGCTCACCCTCAGACATTTGAAGGGCCTCAACCAGGTAAAAGTTAAACCAATCTCATTTGTGCACTCCCCTACATTGTCTTGTCATGTTTCGTGAAAGTAGTAATGCTGCACTTGCTCATGAGAGGGATTCTAAACTACTTTTCTACTAGCCTGTAACATTCAGTATTGGTAACATTTGGGCATTCCTGAATGAAGTGTAAGCATCAGTTTTGTTGCATTTAATTGCTACAGCCACATCTTATAGGTTAATAATATTGTGGATGAGATTGTGTTATGTCTTATATTTGTTTACTTCTCTGCAATTTGTAAGTATTTTTTATCACTAGCTTGGCTCAGTTTTTTATGATGGCTGGCTAGTCATACAGATTTTTTATTTGTTTCACTCTTATTCAATGGAATGCTCCCCCTGCAATGATAATAGTTATATATATAATGATAATAGTTAAATGCCTATTTTGTGTTGATCTTACAGAGAAGAGCCCCTTGTGGTACATCCCCCCTTTGATACCAATACCCGACGGATCGACTCACATCTCAGGTCAAGGTTTATCCAAGTTCACTCGCCCTCCTCCCCCATATCGGGAGCCATTTCGAGTGGGTCAGCCTCCAATGGCTCATGCAGATTCGTCACCCCGGATGCGCATCCAACCCCGTGTGTTCACCTTTGACTTTGTGGACAAGGTAGTCCTACCAGGATCGCAGAATCAGGATACTCCAACGGACCTGAGCCTACATCTGAAACGCCCTGCTGAGGAATTTCCACTTCCATCACCCAGTGCCAAATCCAACAAGAACAGTCCCGTGGACTTCAGCATTGCTGCCATCATGTCCCCGTCCCCATCGTCCAAGTCGGAGTCATCCAATCCAGAAAGTGGAACATTTGTCCTTCCAGATGTCCCAGCATCTAAGCGGGCTAGGCTTGAAGAAGCATGCAAGGACAAGGACAGGATGCCAAGGTCAGACATCCTTGAACCAGAAGTGATAGTGAAAACAGAGCCCATAGTGAAAACTGAGCCTGCTTCAGATGATGAGAACAGCAACCCAGGTTTTACTCAAGAGACAAAGAAAGGAAGTGAAGACACAGCTAAAAGCAAGGGGAGAGATGCCAGTGGTGTTCTCTTGGATTTCCATCCACGGAACTCCAGCAGGGACGGTGAAAGATCCTCAAATAAACCGAAGCCTAGTCCGTTGTCTATAGACTCGATCATGACCCCATCCACCATCAATACTCCGTTGCCGAGCCCACGACAATACTCTGGTGGGTTCTCCACACTCCCAAGCCCATTCCCAACTTCTCCGTTCATCCCTGTGTCTTCGAGTCTCAAGAGTCCCTTCATGCCTCCTAGTCTTAGCTTTTGGAGTTCCTTGTCACCATTGACTGCTATTAGCCCCCGTTTCCCTGGCAATGGACCAGGACCCACATTCTTTCAGTTCCCATTTGTATCACCATCCAAAGGAGGGAGCCAAAATGTGGAGAACGCACCACGATCTCCCAATAAGAGTGCGTCTCACTGATGGATGGTCCACCTGTGATGGTTTTTTGCTTGTTCTTCACGCAGAACGAACTTTGTCTCCAAGTGCCTTGATCTGTGTGTGATATAACCTGCTTTCCTCACCATTGCTCAATCAGAAGTGTAGGAGCTGACGTGGACTGATTCGGGTCAATACAAAACTCACGATATTCAACATTAACAAACTTCTGGATAGGTATTTGCATCATGCTCTATTCATATTAGATGCAGAAGCACTCTTGATTAATTTTCTGGAAAGTAAGGCATTATATTGTCTCAGTGCAATTTTCTTAATTTGTAAACTACTCCAGTCTCTATTTTCCTGTACATTATTGAGTTCACATTTGTGCCAATGTCTGGAACTTGGCATTCTACTGGATCTCAGCATAAATTTTCTTTTTTTTATGAACTTTAAATTCAATAACGATACAATGATTGATTTGATGTATCCCATTCTGTGATGTACCGTGCCTCGGCTCCCATTGCCTTATGCAGAGAACCTTCACAATGATTGCACATGTGGAGTAGTTAAGAGGGGAGGGAAAAAGAAAGCCTGTCCTTGGTGCCATTGGGATCTGGTATCTCCTGGGTATGGTGATACAGTTTCTTCATGGGAATCGGCACAGTGCCATTCACACAGTACAAAGTCCTGTTTCCAAGAGGGAGAGAGGAAACTTTGGTCTTAGTTATTCTGTATTCTTTCTTTTCATTTTTTCTATGTACTTTCCAACTTCTTTGCTGTTGAAGAATTCTTCACCATATTAACTTACATTTCAGGGATTCAGAATGTCTACATCTCAAGGAGAGGCATGTCGCAATGGGTTTTTCAGGGAACACTGGAATCCAGTGCCTATATCCAAATGGGGAACTTGGTATTAAAAAAATATTTCATGATTGAAATTTTGTAGCATTAAGAGGTAACGCTGTGGTATTGGCTCAGCGAAAATTCTTTGTTCAAAATTTGACATTTGCGTTTTGCCAAGTCATTATGCCAAATTCATCTTATTTTGGCTTGCCTTCTCTGGGCATTAGTACGAAACTCTTGTGATTTCACCCTGATCCCATTATCATAGCATGTCTCAACGAAATGAATTTTGCTGTGCAAGTTTGTCTCTCTTCCTCTCATGGTTTTCTTTTGATGTTGAAATGTGATAGATGGGCTAAAGAAGGGGGGAAAAAAAATTTGGTTTCTTGTTGTGTTTTCTGCTCCCGGGATGGTTGCCAACATTTTGGTGTATATATGAAATGAAGGAAAGGAAGATGGTGAATCAGTTGATAGCCCGGATGATCAATTGATAGTGCTGGAGTTATGATTCTTTTTTTGTTGTCTGCTGCACAAGCCTGGCTGTTGCAGTAAAGGTATTTTTTTCTGAAACACTCGTGTTTTAACCAGTGATTTATTTTTTTTTGTCTAAAAAAAAAAAGACAATGGACAAGAAATGTCACACGCCTGTTGTCATTTTAGCAAAACTCGGGTTCAAAATTGAATATTTTGCTCTGCCAAAAAGCCTCATAAGCATCATATTCTATTCTATGTATCTCAAATGTGAACTCATTCTTAATGAATATCTTCCGTGTAAAATATACATTCAAAAGAGGCTCATTGGATTGAGTTCAATGAAATGCGTTCCTTGGGCCTACAGTCAAATAACCTGTATGACGAGAATGGTCACTTGACCGGCGTAACATCCTTCGGTGGAGGGCCTTCCGTCGCCTGAGCTTTCACGTCTTGGACAAGCACGTCATTTGGCAGGATACATTCAGGATCCTCAATCACTTGAATCTAGAGCGAAGAGAAGATTTCACAGGATTTGTCAAGCAGTGGCTAGAGTAGAAACGCTGAATTTGATAACAGTGAGACCGACGGCAAGAAGAAAGCTGCACGACAGAAATGAAGAATGCCGGACCCCTGATGCAGAAAACTAACAGTATAGGAGAGAATCAGATCTCTACGAAGGAGATCTGGAACTTTCGATTCTGGGGGATCATTGGATCGTCCTAGGTGGAAGCCAAATATGTGAAAAGCGGGAGAGCTCCAGTATTATCCCCTTCCGTGCGGCTTTTCACCGCTGACGTCAGTCTCAGCTTACAGTGGAATAAAAGGACAAAAATCCCCTATTTTTGGAAAGGCTGATGGCAGAACTCAGCAAGACTATCTTCCCGCAGATAGGAAGGGATGTTCTTGCTGACAACGAGCTTCTGGATTTTTCCCCTTTCGCTTCCTCCGCTCAGAGGCTCGATGACAGCCATTCGTGTATCACTGGGAAGTTCCTCTGTGTTTGTAACTCAACGCTAAGCAACACTCGACGTCTCTTACGTCTTCGGGGTGGAATAGGGCGGATGTGGTGAAAGGGATCGCGCTCGCGCCGTTCGTGTGGATCCTTTTCTCTATCGCTCATTGAGTATTGTGAGCAGATCCTGAAAAGGGAGAGCCAAGCGTGTTGCGTACAAGCATGTCTTACGAAAGAAGAGATGGACAGGAGCTCTTCAGTAATATGCAAAATTATGGATAGTATCACGAAATCAAAATTTCACAAGAGCTCAATCATATCCACCCAATTAACATTCCCTATGTAACCCATCATGAACTCAGATGAGTTTAAATTACACTGATTTCGTGCAGCAATTATTCTCGTCGCACGGAACAGCCGACCTTCTTCAGGGGGAAATTACGTGATTGCCAGTTGAGAGCTACATCGCGTGCCAGGATCGTCACGGGTCATCAGCGTCGAGTTCATCCCTTAAAGGTTAGGCGAATCGGTCGTCATTTCGACAGCGCTGCCTGATTCATGCGAAGGATGCGGTGGCTGACAGGGATAGATAAAGGGGACGGGCGGAAGAGCCTGCCGACAGAGGGGCATGGGGAGTTGAATCCGTTGATGTAACGGTCAGAGGCGCTTCTGTTCGTTCCGACCCGTAAAAGCGTCCTCATCGGATGTATCAAGGACAGCATCGCGTGGGTGGTCACGTATGCATGGGAATTATTCTGGACTGGATTGCCTCGACAGTCCCCCGAATTCCCATAAATATTTTTACAATTGATTTACAATTGAAGCGCGAAATTTATTATGTAAAATGTCAAAGGCCTCCGGTCCCCAGAAAAAATGAATAAATTTAGTGTCCAAATTCTCCTCTGAAATAACTTCTATCGAGACGCCTATCATGCCTCGATAAAGGCCTTTGTGGCCGAAAGCTTTGCAATTTTACATCTGCCTTTTTAATGGAGACACTTCTCCCTCTATATTTTATCTTGTCTCCCGCCATTATTTAGCGAGCAAGGAACGATGGCCGATGCTAAAGTCTTTGGAAACTCCTCAACGACTATATGGGAACGAAAAACTGACATCCCCGGGATACACCCTTAATTTCCCCATTTATTACACTTTCTCGGCCACACACTTTTCCCGTCAGAACACCCACGCACCGAGCCCGTTAGCGAAGAACCGCCTGGGCTGTCGCACCCATTACGTGACATGCCGCACAACGCGATCCTGCCTTCCTCCCACTCGCCTGACCTTGCTCCCTCAGACTTCCTCTTTCCGTCGCTTAACCCCTTTCCTACGGATGACGTATAATACGCGATTTATTATCTCGATTTTCAAAGTTGTAGAACTATGATGAAAATCAGCTCTACCTGTTTTTCGTTCTTCATACCTGTTTTTCTATTCCTTCCTACGGATGACGTATATTTACGTCGTGGGACTTAGCTCCTGGCTGAGGCTGGAATAATACCGTTGGGATGCTGGGCTGGCTCAGTCAATCACGTGGTCAAGGGGTTAAGAGGGATTTGTGTGGTCGCAGGTATGTGCTTCCTGGGTTCAATGCTTGAGTATACCGACAGGAAATGCTTCTGCTCGAGAATGCGGATAAAGGAATAAATAAAGGGTGTGTCCTAGGCGAGTGAGTATAGAATTTCGCTAATATTCTTGTGATTCCTATGACTTGCACCAGCTCTCGTGTATGACTTGCCTCGAAAGTCCAAGAGAAGAGTCTAACTGCATGAATGCAAAGCAACTCAAATGCTATGTTAAGATATGGAGAATACATTTGAAAGGGTGCTACCTTTCCAGTGATGCCGCAGGATCGCCAGCGCCTCGAACGTAATCGCTTCGAGGTCAGCTTTTTTTTTTAACCCTTCGGCATTTTTCTTTACTAGATTTGCAACAAAGAAGGTTCATTAACTTTGACGTGATTAAATTTTCTCACGGATCCCCCAGGGGTGGCCCACTGATTTTGAAGACTGCTCATTTAGGCTCTGGGTTATCAGTAATGATGAGTTTCGGAAACTTGAAAAGGGAAACTCTGTTGCACGAATTTCACAAGTGACATTTGATTCAACAAATGTTTAAACCTATTTATCTTGTTTTTCTTCCGGAGAGTTTCTAGTTCTTCCGGAGGGTATGTCTATAGGGAGTCCAGAAATGTAATGTAATTTATAGTTTATAGGACTGACTCCTAACCTTACTTTCTTTTTGTTTATTTACAGGCACAGCATGTTACTTGCTTTCCCTATAATTTATGTGTTGTGTACTTATATATAAATGCATTGAATTATTCAAAATTGAACATTATTCCTTATTGCTAAAAAAAAAAATGTTGCGGACGTTCTCCATTTCTGCTTTTAACCCTTTCAGTCCGGGCGGGACTCAAGAGTCCCGCATTTTCTTCGCATGTGCTATAGGGTTACACAGGAATGCACAACCTTGAAGCCATGGCAGGATTCTGAGTCCCAGTTTATGGTAGTTCACTTCATGTTGTCAAGTTGACAGCTGTCCACAGTAATATGAAGGGGCTGTATTTCCTCCGGAAATTAAAAAATGGTGCCTTCTTTTGCATTTATTCAGCTAATACATTTCTTTCCCAGCCCAATTTATTCTGTTTTTGCAGGTTAGATAATGGAAAGTAGTACGGGAATGCTGGGAAACATATGCCTTAATTAGGGATATGAGTACTAGCGGAACTAATTAATTAAATAATAATAATTTAATAAATATTTATTTTATTTAAGGAAATCATTTTAAAAGCACTTTTATTTTATATGAGCCTTGTTGAAGCTCAAAAAGTATGATATTTTTTCAGTGCCTAGAACATAATTCAGGACTGAAAGGGTTAAAAGAAATTGTCTTCCTTGCAAAACACTTACTAATAAGAATGATTTCTTTCTTCCATTCTTTCAGCTTCTTACGATAAGGGACAAACAAACCATGTTGTACTGGAAGGATCTTTTCGGTTGACATTCCAGACCTATGGCACAGGGACACGAGGAGATGTAGACCCCTTGTCCGTAAAAATTCCGGTATCTGTCGCCCGGGCTGCACACGTCACCTATCAGAGATCAGAGTTGGAATTTTTTCCATTAAAATCTGCGAAACTGGAAATAGAGCGAGGAGAGCATCAGTTCTTGGGGATTCCGAAGCGATGCGGGAAAAATGCCGATTTCACGAGCGGTGAAACGCTCTTTATCGATCCCTCACATCGATGTGAGGTCATGCATGCTTCTATATATAACCGACAGAAGCATACCTAGCCTCTTGATGGGCTGGCAGAGCCCGACCGGCTTCCCGTGCCGAATGCCGGTCATGACACAACATTTGGAGGTATCCCCCCGCCGTGTGCATTCCCGGTTCTCCCTGCATGCCTCGCCCTCCGCCCACTCGTAGCCCAAGTATCTCGCCTGCGAGAGAAAAAACCCTGAACAGTTGGGATCTGCCTCTCTGGACGTGAAATCCTGTACCTTCGCACGTGGGAGGATCGACATCCGTCTCCGCGGCTTGACACGTCCGCGTTTTTTCCATAGTAACTCGGAATCCGGCCTTGAATACGGCCGTGTGCGCGCATGTGGTGTTATCATTCTTCATTGCCTCGATAAAGCATGTCGGCTTTGATCTAGATAATAGGTAATAACTTATTTTAATTAAAACGCCATTCCTTTGACTTACCGAACGACGGTTGAGCACTTTAGCGCGTGCAAAAAGAGCTTGACAACTTAACTGGAATTTGTACTTCGTCGGGGGCTTCTTTGCGCTTTTTAAGATAAACCGTTGAGTCTTGAGCTGTGAAATATTACATATGCATTCCTTGGCATCCGAGGATTTATTCTCTCATGCTCGACTCATCACTTCCCCCCTTTTTCTTTGCGAACAACTTAATTTTACAATGGATTGTTAAAACTTTTCTAATCAAGTTCACTTACGTCATGGGCGCCATAAGATAGATCTCAGCAGATTAAAATAATATGTACGAGGGCTCGACTAGATTGGTGTATGAGGACGAGACTTCTAGGTTGAAAAAGGAGTGTTAAAATAAACGAGAGCTAGCCACCAGGTCGTTCGAGCCATCATATCGTTTGAGAACTTGCTTTAGCAAGTTCTCAAACGACTAAGAGACCCTTCAACGGATTTCCGTTCAAATAATGTCGAAGGATACCTGTACGTCAGCGTTCAAATAGTTGTTGGCTTGTAACCTCTTGACCTCGTGGCCTTTTCGTAAAAACGTTCATGGGTCTTGCCCATGGGTCAGATACATTCTACGAGCCGAGATCTAATGACACCGATGACGTAAGCAAACGCTATTGAGCGCGCTGGCATTATGCTTGCAGCATACTCCTTTGCAATGCAAATCTTTCTAGAGTGCGGAGTAATGATCAAAAGCAGTAGTTGCAGCTACCGTATTGCTTTCAATGCAATGATTTGTCTTCTTAACGTGGTAAATCGTAGTTACTTGCTATTAGAGGTATCGAAACGCATGAAGTCTAGTACCGAGGCGTTATCCTGCATACGGCAAGGTATCGTACCGTGTACAGGATACAAGAGGATTCACGAATGAGTCCTAAGTCGGGATTCGAATCGGTCCAAACGCGTTTCGGCGACACATCATTTCCATCTCAACAAAGTGCAGCAATCACAAGAGATTCTGGAACACCTGTGACGGTGATGGAAGCAATTTTCCACGTCAGTGGCCACGTCAACAAGCCCAATTGAAGGCATCGCCCGGGACACAAACACTCGTTGGACGACGGACACCCGCGCATAAACGCGACTCCCGAGTCATGGTACGAGCTGCAATTACGAGAGACGAGCTATTTCGACCCTTCTTCGAGGGCCTAGTTACTGGAGACACGCATCTTTACGTGCTTAGCAATTTTAAACACCTTTGTTAGAGGACGTTTCTCTGGAAGTCCTTTGCCAAATGAGGTTCCAGCACGATGGTACCTCCTCGCTTTGTTCGACAATCGAGAGCCCTCTTGGATGAGAAATTCCCGGGGAACGGGAGGACCCACCTTGTGGCTCCCTCAGGCCCCCCTTGTGGCTCCCTCAGGCCCCCCCCCTTCCCCCTCTTCCCCCTCTTCCCCCCTCCCCCCCTCCCCTCAGGCCCCTCCTTTGACGCCGCTGGATTCTTTTCTTTTTGGGTCACTTAGTCCGTCTGGTATGGATATCGATTACACGCTCTTCACATTCTCGAGAACGGAAAGCGAGCAGTGTGTAAAAATCGCTTACGTAATGTTTAACCAGTGACATATTTCGGCTCTTGAGTCGAGGGAGGGGTGCCTTCTGTAGGACATACTTGTAACATCTAGCTTAGCAAAACACAGATATGGTGATAAAAATAACTCCGTTGTTTTCTTCGAATTTGAGACCTAAAAGGAAAAGATTTAGATAGGCAATCCACATTTTGAAGGCTACTAAGTGTTAGAATGAGGATTAGGATTTTGTCGGTTCCCTTGGCTCAGCCAAAAAGATGCACTGTCACACAATTTTAAAGTGGATCAATCTTCAATACGCGTGTCAATGATCTGCTCGACCATCTCAGACCATCTCAGAATTCAATTAAATTTGGCAACATTCGGATTCAACGCAGAATAGCCAAAATCGTGGGTCTTCATTGCAACCGTGGGTTGAGATATGAGCTTTTGAGAACATCGAGATAAATAAATAAAAATTGGCCTTCAACTTCCAGATGCCAATTTCCTTCCTCTTTGTCCGAGAAGAAATTAGTTGATGCCTCAAATTCAAACCAAAAGTGAGCAAAAAAAATTCTAACCGATTTAATACTACTGTTTTGTATGATATTTTCAACTTGAAAGCTGCGAATCGATCGGTTAACTAATAAAATTTTGAAGTGTTTTCATTCCCACAATATTCTTCCACTTTCAAATTGGAAAGCTTGTTATTAATTATAAATCAACGGCTGCACCAATGAAGTTAGTGCGACTTGGTTGACTCATGGGAAAGTTGAAGCGCTGAAAGCCTAAGGAAATATGTTTTTTTGTTCCTGGGGCAAATTTAAAGCCCTTTATCCAGGCCCTTTTCGCTGCAGTTCAGTCGAGTTTTATGGCTAAGACAAGGGGCACTGACATGAGCCTAATCCTCATTCCAACATCTCGTAGCCTTCGAAATATCAATTTCTTATCTGACTTACCATTTTTGTCGCAGATGCGGACTATTACCTTTTTCCCATAGAAAACATTGAGGCATTTTTTTATTATCATCACCCAGCAAACAATTTTAAACACATAACGTTGAACCAACATTGAATAAACGTTTGGAACGTTGTTACAACGTTGGTCCAACGTAGCCTCGTTTGCTGGGTATATGGTCTGGCCAAAAAAAAAAAAATATCCACGACTAACTGGTGTGGTTCTACTTTCACGAGAGTGTTCTCATTGCTCTCGTTCGCTTTCGCAAAAATTGTCTGTGTACAGATTGATATCGATATGATCTGTCCTAAGAGACTCTTGAAATGTCATCCAAACTGATATTGCCGACGTGAGGGTCTGACCAATTCTTCGAAAGAAATTGGGGATTGAAAATGGACAGGGAGACGTGACAAAGACCAAGGAAACGGTTTGGGTCGGGACTTTTCCCTTGGTCTGAATAAATCTGATTTTATTTTAATAAACTTAGAGCAACTGTGTCTTTTCATACTTAGTGATGTTCCTGTCATGGTTTTAATGAGCTTTATTCCAAGCAATCTGCAAGAAAAGGTCATCCTAAAAAATGAATTTGAATCAAAGTGATGTTTGATGTGACCTAAATTCTATTAAATCATAACGCTTTGGCATAAACTTCTGACTCTGCATAAATCACTGTGACTCTGCTGGGGTGCGATTACTTTTTGGAGAAATCCTGAAAATCTGTTCGAAACTTGTCCATCTATGCGCAATAGATGGACAAGTTTCTATGCGAAATAGCTCAAATGAAGCAGAGGCATAGTAATTAAAAGTTGCTTCTCCATACCTGAATCAGGTCCTAATAGTTCCCCCTCCCCCCCCCCCCTAAATTAATTTTTTTTTCGCAAAACACAACCATCATCACCGGTTTCCAGGGTTAAAGTAATAGGTACGGTTAGGGTATATAATCTTTCACTTCTGTTAGTCTGGATTCCGTCTACATCTTAATATTCTACAATATTTGCACGTCATCCCTGAAGTTAAATGAAATATGGGAAAAGTGATTGCGGTTGTTTTGGAAGTTTGCCCTGCAATTCGGCCGAGCCTGTCTAACGGCATGGAACATTTTCCGCCCAAGAATCGCGGAATTTTCAGGGAATTACATCTCATTCGTCCGTGTTGATCCTTGTTTTCGTTAATTGAACATAACTTCTCCAAGGTTGGACTTCGCTAATCGACGGAAAAACTAACGAAGGCCTGAAACCAGACAGAACGCGGACGCGATCCGAAAACGCTTTTCCTAGTTCCGTTTCCATGCACGTCCAGAGGCCTTTCGACAAATTGACAACTACTTCGTTGAGGAAAATGGGAAAGAAACGTACGTGGGCGGAAGCGAAGGTTGCGACAATTAACGCAGCACAACCTAGATGGTACATACTGACGACGAGGGTCGAAGGACACGTGAGTGAAGGAAAGAGAGCCCGACGTTTTTTCCACGCATGAGTCACGAGGAAGAAGGAGGACTCCCCCCCGTTGGGTATATTCGATGCGATCATCCTGTTCGCTCCCCGATTTCTCCTTGTCATTTGGATGCGACGCACGTTCGTTGAGGTCTTGCCAAGGTCTCGGAGTCGAACTGGCCGAGTTTCTTCATGGATACTCTGCTGACTTGAGTCGGTCTACTAGGTGTGCTGAGGGTTCGAGGTCAAGGTTTAGGTTGGGATGTGATAAGGCATTTCTGGCCGCTTCGAGTCGCCCTCGAGAGCTCATCCATCTCCATTTGAGATGGGCCTGCTTCTTCTATGATAAATGTTCTCGGTGGGAGCGCGTCAATCTTCTGCCTAGTTACTTGCAGTTCTGTTCCTTTTGTTTTGTCCATTACAGCATGTAACGTCTTCTTTAGCCATGTACGGGAGGGGGATGGACTGAATCCTCAAGCTCTCACTGTGTTCGCTAACCAAGACAAAAAAAAAAGTTGTTCCACAGATTCAGTCTGACTTGAACTTATGATACTTGCGCAATTTGGGCTGGTTTCCTATCGCTCTGCTGGTACCATCGAGTCTGGAAAAAATTTAATGATACGTGGAATAAAGAAATGTGGTAATTAGCTTCATCGGAGCACACGAAGGCCACGCTTACTTTCCCCCCCTAACGACGGAATACACAGGAATGCATAGCCTTCCACACTGACTTCAGCTACCAACGACGATTTATATGCTGCCGTAGAAAACTAGCAAAATAACGACTCCCAAATAATTCAATAGTAAGAAATTGGTTAGCGGGCCCCGTTTCATGCCTTGCATCAGGGCCCATGCCAACCACGCTACGCCACTGGCCATGTCTTCATGAAACTTAGGATGAACTATAAATAGACTTCTAGAGTAGAGGCCTGAGGAGAAGAGAGAGTGGGTGAGTACCATGCTTTCCGATACCATATACAGATACACTTCCCCCCCATATACAGTTCTTTCTAAGTTTATTCGGGGCTCTCTCGTCGAATTGCGAAGTTCTTAGTTTCCGTGCTAAAGTAGTGATGTCGCTAGATTCATCGCCATTAGTGAGAATTAATTCCCACTAGATGTCGTGGTGATAGCCGCTGAGCAGTGGCTGAGCCGGGAGTAGGGAAGACATTCCTAACTGCGTTCCATTAATGTGTCGAAGTTGCCCGCTGATAAAGCCTCTGGTCATGTATTACCGAAAGGGACCATTACAGGGTTAGGTCAGGATAGGTTAAGCCTATACTGCAGAATGGCCATCACCGACCCTGTGGCTGTGCCGTGCATAAGGTTTTGGACCTTGCTGATCTGAGTTCGCATATCTCAACCCAATGGGCCAGTAACCTCTTGCAACCCATGTCTCTGTTTTTTTTCGGCACAAACTTCGTTGGTGTTAGACTGAAATCCTTGACTAGGCCTACTGTGATCACATGTGACCAGGTGAACATTGGTGTTATGAAAAATGGGACGAGTTGCTAGTGTAGCCTACAGCAGAATATTTGCCATTTTAGGCCATCATAATATATAGGCCTATAGTAGACCTAATTCATTTTCATTAGGGTTGCATGACTTGATTTACGCTTCGGCCAGCTTTCACAATCCCGATACCGATGGCAAAGACCCCCCTTCCTCTATTGGCGAAAAATAATTAGGAACACGGCGTGCGTGAATGCGACCTGGGGCAGATTCTTTCATCTCTTTCAGAAGAAAAGAAACAGGTGCTTCTGGCCTTTTTCATGCGAAAAAAGTTGGGTAGAACATGACTCGATTAAATTGCTCTGAATGGCCACAACTAGGGCTAAATGTTGACATTGGGAATGCCGCTTGACACCTATAACCTTTTCCAAGAAAGCCCAGTCTTATTTCAGGTCTGGTCTCTTCCAGAAGAGTAAAATCTAAGCACCATATAAACCAGTGAAGAAGTCTCCTGCATCATATCAACTGTTGGCATCCTTCAGGACTTCCCTGTTCTTTTCCATGAACATTTAGGTTTTGGGCCTAGGATTTGACTCTTTGACCAAAATTCCCCCTGCCCCTTTGGCAAAAAATTAATTTTACTAGCATGTGAATTGGCAATTCTCTGCTGCAGTAACTGCATCTTGTGATAATGCTGAACCTCCTGTCATACTTAGTTGTGCTTTCCAGTAAAATTGCTTTTGACTGTGCAAAAAATGATAGATATTCAGTATCCAGAAACCTCTCAAAACATGGGAATATTAATTTCTTTCATGTGTTCTCTACATATCATGCTCAGTCCCCAGAAATAGGAGATTCTCTGTTGTTGCCAGTCTTGAATGAGAACAATGAGTGGCACAAAGAGTACTGCTAAAATCGAAACTGCCTAGGCTGAATTTGAAATGGCATGTGTTGAATATTGTCAAGAAAATCTATTAAATCTATATCTTATAAATGTTTAATGTTCATATCTGTCCTCAGCCTTCTTGGCTTGTCATTGTATCTTTTGCAATCAGGGATGCTTGAAAGGTGTTTGATAATCTAGATGGAACTTGCTCCCTATCATGTTGACTGATTTGCCCCTCTCTTTCCAGTTGGTAGATTGACAACTGGTACAGTATGCCTAATGCATCAGGAGGTAAATGGCCTGTAGATGTAGGTATACATGCCATTAGTCTCTATTTTCCCTCCCAATTTGTGAAACAGGATGCCCTGGAGGAGTATGATGGAGTCTCATCAGGTAAGCACATTTGATATATGAGATTCATTGTGTACATTACTTGGTATCTAATGCCTCTCTCTCTCTCTTTCTCTTTTTAAGGGAAGTATACTATTGGGCTTGGCCAGACAGAGATGGGTTTCTGTAGTGACAGGGAAGATATAAATTCCCTTTTTCTTACAGTGACTCATAGACTGCTAAAGGAATATGATATTGGTGAGTTTCATTCTATCCTATGACTCTTCAATTTATGTTCCATATTTTGTTTTTGTTGTGGTAAAGTTTTATCCTCCTTTCTTTGGCTCAGATGTATGTAACATTGGCTACCTGGCTGTTGGCTCAGAAACCATCTTGGATAAGGCTAAGTCAATTAAGAGTGTCCTTATGCAAATTTGGGATTGGCATGGTGTGGACCCTATTGATGTTGAGGGAGTTGACAGTGTCAGTGCCTGCTATGGAGGAACTGCTGCCCTATTCAATGCCATCAATTGGATTGAGTCCTCTTCCTGGAATGGTAGGAAGCTTCCAATAAATGTGTTCATGAGGAAAGAGAAATTATTCACGAAACCATCTTTGATATGAATGTTGTAATAGTGAATGGTTGTAGGAAAGCAAGCGTTGGTTGTGACAGCGGACATTGCCGTATATGCCTCCGGGAATGCACGTCCAACGGGAGGTGCTGGAGCTGTTGCCATGCTGATTGGGCCTTGTGCACCCATTGTGTTTGAGAGAGGTCAGAGGTGATTTACTGACATTAGGCCATGCATTAATTCCTGTTTTATGAATGTCTACATGAATTTTGGCTTCCATGTCTTCCCAGGAACACGTAGCACCTACATGGAGCATGCATATGACTTTTACAAACCAAACCTTTCCAGTGAATATCCTGTGGTTGATGGGAAACTATCAGTTCTGTGTTATCTCAGAGCCCTTGATAAGTGCTACCAGCTTTTTTGTGAAAAATCTGAAACTCTTGGCTTCAAGGGTGAGTGTTACCTACCAGTATGCCTAGAACTTGGATTTTAATTGCCCCCATGAGAAACTGATAATAATGGTTTCATTCATTGGATTGCAGACCCAAAAACAGGACAACATGCACTGAGCTGCCTTAATGCCCTTGTCTTCCATTCCCCATATTGCCGACTGGTTGAAAAGAGTGTCGCCCGGTTGTACTTCAATGATCTTCTTAGGTGTGCCTCTGATGAAAATCTCCCTGTTGACATACAGCATCTCGGGTAGGTCTTTGGACCTGCTAATTGTTCTTTCTCTTGAGACATAAGAGTGTGCTTATCTGCATGAGGGAAATTCACCACATGATATATGTATTTGTTAGGAAATTACGACTGGAAGACACATACTTTGACAAGGAGTTAGAGAAGCAGCTTCTGTCTCTCTCAAGACCAGTGTTTCAGGATCTCACTGAGACCTCCCTCCTGGTAGCCAAGCATGTAGGGAACATGTATTGCCCTTCAGTCTATGCATGCCTTGCCTCTTCTCTACTTGGGTGAGACTTATGAAAGTACATTGGGAGAGACTCTTCTAATTTAGAGTTGCTTAATCTTGAATCATTCTTGTTTGTTCTAGGAAATCCCTGATTGAGCTCTCAGGGATGCGAATAGGCATCTTTTCATATGGCTCAGGGTTCACATCATCCATGTTTTCTGTGAGAATTGCAAAAGATGGAGAACCAAGCTTTGTTCCTTTGAAGAAGATGCATAGCCTTCTCTCCAAGATTCCATCTTGCCTCGGATCTCGTATTCTTCGGTCTCCAGAGTATTTCACAAGAGCAGTGGAGAAGTGGGATCTCATCGCCCACCAAGGTAAAAAATACAATGACTCCATTCCACACATGAAGTCAAGTTGAGTCTAACATTATTTCAAAATTAGAGATGCAATGGTATATCACTGCTATTAGGACTACTGGCATGTCCTTAGCCTGGGAGGTCTGAATGTAAACTATGATTTTATAATAGTTTTTGGTGAGCATTCACATCTGAACCCTCCCATCATTTTTCTTTTTTCTTTGGTCAGCAAATTGCCCGCAAATCCCGTGAATCTACATTTGCCATGAAATATTAGAGAAGTGTGATTATTTTCAAAACTACTTTGTATTTACTTTGAACTTTTCTCTATTCTAGCTCCATTTGATCCAAATGACCCAGTAGAGGAGCTAGCAAAGGGGACTTGGTACCTGGTGTCAGTTGATGATCGCCACCGTCGCAAGTACGCATATCACTCAGATGAATCTTCTAATGGTGCATGATACTGTGAACCTCTTTTCTAGTGGTGGGATCTGAGCTGTCCTAGTCACATTGGGTATGACCCATATTCACAATTGCCTGCTTCAATGTTGAAGGTGTCATTGCCAAACTGAATTGCTTCCAGCCATCAATTCAAGGAATCCAATGCTCATCTGCTGCAATTTTCAGATCTATCTTTTACTTTTATGGGTATCTTTATATCTTGCCTTCATAGGATTTTAGACAATTTCATGAAATATAGTGACGCTTGTCGGTACTTCGACTTCATTTGGAGAGAACCAATAAATTGATGCCCTAGGCTCCCAATGGATTATAATGGATTATTGTACATTGAAAACTCTTCTGGTGAGGCTGGCATTTTCTTGTTGAGTGATTTGCAAACTTGGGCAATGGAATGCAGCCAAATCTCCCAATCTTTTGTGCATCCAAGCACAGAGAACCAGGAAGGAGTCATCCTGGGATTGGGATAGTTCTCATCAAAAGGATTTTGTCAAAATCTCAATCAAATTTATCGAATTATTGTGATATGCATATTGCTAAGCATGGATGCTATCTTTCATGGGCATCATTTATTGATATAAAAATTTGGGAAGTGTATGAGAAAGCTTTTTGTGTTCATGATTGCAGTCTTTGAAACAATCATTAGTTGTGACTTGGTTTTTTAGTTCAGCAAGTATTCGGTAATTTAGTGATAGCTCTATTTCTGTATAGTCTGCAAAAGCATCATGTTAGTAATAATTAATAGTACCAAGAACTCATTTTCTCAAACGTCTTCCTGGGGACTCATAAGCAACTTTAGGATGCCCAAGCTTTTGATATTTAAAATTTTCCTTTTATTTATTTAAATATATCAATTTATTTTCTTTACCAAAAGTGATTTTTTTTGCATCGATTGTTGCAAATGCTAACTTCTAACATGCTCTGCTAAAGTAATTCTTTCATTCACTTTTGATTACCATTTTCCATTCTTGTGTGCTGGGCATTGTATTGAGCTATATCTAAAAGTCTTCAGTGCAGCTCCTGTGTGTATGTCAAAGTTGATTATATGAAAGGTTTTCTTGTGCACTTTCCAACATATTTTCATTTATCTATTGCTACTTTTATGTAGGCATGCTTATTGATGGATCTCTCTCTAGTATTAGTGGTATGTTCAATAATATCATTCTAACCTCGGTCTCATTAATACCTGGTGGTCCTTATCATGAAAGAGATTATATGGAACGAGGCACTGAGAATGCCTAGGTCTATCAGTCATGTAGCTTTATCTATGGTGGGACCCAAAGTGGTTTGTCGGTTTGATTCAGACGTGAAAGTTTGTATTGCAGTGTTCGTGTTATGTCAAAAAGTTTTCATCATATTGGCACTCTTTTAATTGGAAGTGAAGCGCTCATCCTCCCCTTTCTCAACTAGGCTCACCTCACCAAATTTCAAGGCTTTAGATGTAATGTATGGCCTTGTTACTCTTTCATGTTTCGATTGGGTTTGAAGAACTTTATAACGGCCCGAATGTTTAGCGCTTTAATGAAATCTCCCTTAATTTTAGTCGCCAGAGAATTCAGCCCCAATTACCCGGTCTAAGTATACTTTTCGATCATGATCGAAATATCATCATAACTCGATAGCCCTCTAGTTCCCCTATAACTGATCGAATTTTCATACTTAGACCGAAATCGTAATTGAGCGCGACATCTAACTTTACCTCCGACAAATCCAGTCATCTCTGGCCCTTTTCCAGGCCATCAAAACCAAAGATCGGATATACAGATGGCTTTGTTCCTCACTTTTCCATTTTCGAACAATGCTTGGGTACGCTTGTCACCCAATATTCTAATAAGAGCTTTTGTTTCATCAATCGAGTAAAAACGCCTTACGCAAGGTCTAGGACCATCACAACTCTCTTCCATCTTCCAATCCTTTTTCACAAGAAAAAGGTCTCCATCGGTAACTGCTGCGCCATGTCTCCGAATAGTCGAGGTGGTAAAGTTAGAAGTATAGAACGGGAGCAACCGTCCACGTGAAAGACTCATGAAGTTTGTAAGGAGCCATTTCTGACGACAGACGACACCCCTGTCGTCTGTCGTCCTTATGGCTTCTTATGGCTATGGCAGCGTGACGTCAGTTATCATCAGAGTTATGATGATCGAGTTATCTGATAATTCGATTCGATACTTAGACCTTGATCAAGTTATTGTGATATTTCGATCATAATTGAAAGTATACTTAGACCGGGTGAATCTCTTGACGGGCTTCTTGTGGAAGTTCCTGTTGCTCTTATCTCTGAGTCTGATCTCTCTTATCACTAGCGAGCACGAGCGGCATGATTACCCCCCTACTGGAATTTTGTACTCATTATGAGACCATATAAACGCGTGACCTCTCATTGGTATTAAACGCCGGATGGACGGTTGTTGCCTAGTACCGTCGACCGTGCACGCTCGAGATATATGAGCCCTCTTATTAATGCGCCCATTAGCCTCCTCAAGGATGTCCTCTCCAAACGCATTCAGCGACCTATAATCATTTTTGCTGATATGTAAAACTCTACTTGTAATCTCACTGAACTTAAAAAAGCCCTTCAATTTTACCCCTGGCTCTCTCGAACCTCACCGTCTGCGAAAGAGAAACCAACCCTCTCATCGCCCGCTAGTTGGCTGATGTTGCACGCAAGCCCAAATTGTAGTCAATCAACCTAAACAATAAAATCGAAGTGGTTTTCAGACTTAATGAGCTCAAACCGGTGCGCCTACTTTTGAAGACATTTCTCCTTAATTTCTCTCTTTTCCCTCCCTGGCAACTAGTTTGCTTGCTAATTTATCGTATGCCGTATCGTAAAACCCGTATGAAGTGATACCGAAAATTTTCCCAGAATCTGAATATCCTATATCCGCTTGGCACCCATAATGTCTGATTATGAAATTCGAGCAGGTCAAAACGACAAAAATGCCACCTTGTAAACCTATGCCGTGAATTGCCTATGAGAGAGTCTCATTTAACAAATTGTATGTGGGGTGTATACCTAAATTGTAGAAAGGATTTGTCCAGTAGCGTGCCCAGAAAATCTCAATGGGGTGCTGGAGTTGACATATGAAACATTTGTAGCCCACCCTGTATTTGTGGCCAAATTTAAACATGTTTGAGAATCGAACCAATAAAATGTATCCCACTGGAGACATTATAAGGTTCGATGGATGCACGCCACTGGATTTGTCCTTAATGTCCTACCCGGAATGCTGGTGAGACTCGCAGGCCAATAACAGATCCCTGTATCATCCCCATTCCGAATATTGTTATTAGGTTTATCTAATTATGATAACATTCTCTCCAAAATAATATTATTGACGATACTGTTACTTTGCCACTTAGTTGTGAGGACAGGTCGATTCTTGCGAATGTATTTTAGATTCTAGCAATACTGTGTACCTTGTGGATTCCTGTCGCTAATGGAGCCAGTTTGGTAGAACGATAATCGGGAAGACCGCGGAGACAAACCGCCTGTTTCGGCATGTGCTCCGTCGTGAACAAGCCATTAGAGGGGCCGCGGAGGCCTCTATTAAGCAAGCAACCGCTTTGGCACAGCGATCATTATGCAACGCCTAAGGCGCATGAGCCATGGGCGGAGCTTCAGATGGGCGGGCGATCCCCTCCTATCCCCCCTTTACGAGGTGTTTTTCTGCGTTCTGTCGGAATGGCCGAGTGGTTAAGGCGTCAGACTTAAGATCTGATTCTCCTCGAGAGAGCGTGGGTTCGAACCCCACTTCCGACAAGTCGTTTTTATCTGCCTTTCCCCTTTGCGGTTCGTTTAATTTGTAGCGCCGGGGCGCGTAGCCACAGTCCCGCTCCATCAGAAAGCTGATATGTGCGGCGCCGTTGGGTATTGCACCATGGCCTGTAATACCCAATGGGACTGGGAGTTGCTTGTGTGTTGCACCATGACTTGAAATCTGTAAGTATTAAGCGAACTTCAGCTCCCCAGGTTAGAAGTAGTCGGAGTGGCCGAGTGGTTAAGGCGTCAGACTTAAGATCTGATTCTCCGAGAGAGAGCGTGGGTTCGAACCCCACCTCCGACAAAGCTAGATTTTTATGTAAACTGTTTTTTTTTTTTCCCATAAGGGGGGCTGCCAGTACGCGTGTTCTGCCTGCCTGTATGTATGCCCATTCGAGTCTTCAGTTTTCAAATACGGATTTGTTTTGCGTTGATAGCTTGGAAGACTTCAGATTCCGTGTTCAGGCAGGGGTTCTGTGTAAATGGTGTGCATATCGAAAATATTAGTTACTTTTGATTTTCTAGCCATTTTGTCCTGGATGGGGTGGAGGAGAGACAATTGGAACTTTGTAAAATACATCAAAGGAAGTATCCATTACCTCTTTCGCGTGTCGCGAGGGATTCCGTGGTGGAAGAGCAGGTTATACTCATAAAATGTAGCCCTTGACATTCTTGTATATTCCGCCGTTAAGAAGGGAAAATGAATGTGGCCTCCGTATGCTCTGGCGAAGAAGAATGAACGCTACTACATTTTTATTCCATGTATCTCATAAAACACTCTGCGAGGAAGTAATTAACCTGCATAATCTTTTTCACTCGGAATGCGACAGTTGCAGACGGGACTTGTGAGGATTCCTCCCACGTCTACAATTGCGATGAGGGAAACCCTCTCGTGTCACGTCTGCAATTAGCATCAGGTGTGAGGTTTCCCATCACATCTTCACGCGAATAACTTGGCAAAGTGATATTGCATGCTTTTTGGAGTCAGAATATGGTACCTTTCGGGTGCTTTGCATCATGTTCTGCAATCCCTCCGTTCCTCGATCCTCTCCACTGTGTACCATGGATGATAATGTTTGTGTCTGAGTGGCCGGGTGGTTAAGGCGTCAGATTCAAGCTCGGATTCTCCGAGAGAGAGCGTGGGTTCGAGCCCCATCTCCGACAAAGCTTTTTTTTTGTGTCCAAAAGGGGGACTGCCTGTACGCGTGTTCTGCCTGTGTATATGCCCCTTCGAGTCTTCATTTTTCAACTATGGAAATGTTTTTGCGTTGATAGCTTGGAAGACTCTTCAATTTCCGTGTTCAGGCTGGGGTTCTGTTTAAATGGTATACATCGAAAGATTAGTTTCTTTTGTGGAGGAGAGACAATGGGAACTGTAAAATTCGTCAAAGGATGTATCTATTACCTCTTTCTTTGGCGAGTCGTGAGGAATTCCTTGGTGGAAGAGCAGGTTCTACTCATAAAATTGTTCCTTATAAGCTACAATGTTGGCCATGACATTCCTGTGTATTCCGTCGTTAGGGGGGGAAAGTAAGCGTGGCCTTCGTGTGCTCCGATGAAGCTAATTACCACATTTCTTTATTCCACGTATCATTAAATGCTCCGCGAGGAACTAATTAGTTGGCAGAATGTTTCTCACGTGGAATGCGGCAGGCGCAGACGGGACACGTTAGAATTCCCCCCACGTCTGCAATTGGCGTGAGGGAAACCCTCACATGTCACGTTTGCAATTTGTGTCAGGGTGTGAGGGTTCCCGTCTCGTCCTCATGGGGCTACCCTGACGAAGTGTTACTGTATGCTAGAGTGGGTTGGAATATGGTACCTTTCGGGTGCCTTGCACCATGTTCTGCAATCCCTCCGTTCCTCAATCCTCTTCACTGAACCCATACGTACAAACGTTTGCCTGTCGGGGTGGCCGAGTGGTTAAGGCGTCAGATTCAAGTCCTGATTCTCCGAGAGAGAGCGAGGGTTCGAATCCCTCTCCCGACAGTATTTTTTCTCTTCCTTCCCCGCACCATCCTCGAATTGCACAATATGAGCCTCGGTACGCGTTTCCGATCCCGTGGTCAAGTACTGTAACGTACATACGATTAGTCGGAGTTCCTGTGTTTCCAACAACTTCGGTAAAAAGTTAAAAGTGTTAAGTATTAAGGTTAAAACTGTGAAAACTATTTGGAGACTGCGGATGTGTTCGTTCAATGGCCACTAACCAGGGCGTTGGGTTTCATCTGGCCTCTTACTGACATCTTTTCCTCCTGTTGCTGGGTGTGTTTGCCTCATACTGGGGCCTCCCGACAAAAATCCAGGATACGCCTCTGCATAGCACAATTAATATGTTACACTTGTGTACTTCTGTCAGTTTTTCGAAGCCCTTGGACCTTCCCTGGGTGTCTGCCACTTGAGGCCTCCGCGTCCCCCATAACCCTCCTCGCCCTAATACAGTGTTTTGATTTGACATATCAAAAGTCTGGCGACCCCTTGTTCCATGCCCGAGCGGCTGTTCAAATGCGCCCGGTATTGCGCCACGAAGTGAAAAATATGGTGGAGATGCTCAGGCGTTGCACGATGATGTAATAGTGAAGTTCAAATATACTTTGTCATCCTGTTAAGAAGGTTTGCTGGAGTGGCCGAGTGGAGAAGATAAAAGACTCAAGAAGTGATTCTTCTTGAGAGGGTGTTAGTTCGGACTACTCCTCTGACATGTCGATCTTTTCTTTCTTCCCCATCTTCTGTAACACAAAAGATAGGATAGTCATCAAATTCTCGGAGATAGTAAAATCCAGAGCCAAATCGATACTGACATCTCTGGTCTATCCCAAATACTTAATAAGCCAAGTCCTAAAGTACGCCAGACAAAGATGCTGGGGAGTTGGAAGAATGAACTAGTGTTGGGGGAGTGGGGTGGGGTTACAGGAAATTCATCCACACAAGATTAAATACTTCTACGCTTTGTCTAAGGCGGGTTGAGAGAAAGTCCCGATAGGAAGCTTTTGACTCCGGTGCTCTGGGAGTTCTCACAATATTGCTGTATTTCTGTGCTAAATTCGTTTGAGCTCAATCCGAAAAGTAAATAGCAGTATGTCGCGTGAAGAAACTTATATTTACCTTTAAGCAAACTAATTCGATATCATACTCAGAAAACTTGTTTGGGAACGAGTCTGATTTCCTTTTAAGTTTTATTTCGTTAACGCTGCATTTCAGGAGATTGGGGCCTCGCATTATTGCATGTTAGCACCTAGCAACAGGTTGACACGTTCGTCTTCGATTTATGCCAATGATTCCAGTCATAGCAACGCAGAACTGCATGGTCCAAGACCCATCTGGACCCTAAATAAGCCAATGAAAAAATGAAAAAATTTGTTTATGACAGATTCAGACGAAATGAGATTGGAAAAGAGGTGAAAAATGGTAGGGGCGATCGTGGAGAATCTGAGTGGGAGGAAGCTGAGCGTCTTGGCTGGCATTCTCCTCGCTGGCCAGATTGCCTGCTTCCTCCTCGGCGGTCTCATTGGCAAGTGTTCCTTAAACTGCCTCTTGTCTGTCCCTGACAGTTCCCTATCTCACAATTTTTCTTTTTTGCCCCCAGCTCCCTCTCCATCGAATGTGATGAACATTTTGGCCACAAAGTGCATTAAGGATTATCGGAACCGCACGGCGGATCAGGCCTGGTTTTACCCAAGAGGAGAAGGGACGTGTCGTTCTGTGAGTAAATTCACCGAAGACGTCATCCAAGCAGAGAAGATCACGGCAAACGAAGTCGTCTTCGCCTTCCAGGCAAGTACCGCGTTACGTGATGCTGCAGAACTTCTGGGGAAACAGAGTTGGAGTTGATTTGTATTCTGACGATTATATTTCCTATCTGTGCACTTTCGCAAGAGATCTGAATATTTGAGGTTTATGCATGGAATATCGATAAGGCTCAAAACGAAAATATGATTTTGCATTTTTTAAATATGTATCTTCATAGACACTCAGAGGACATACTGGTTTCAGAGAAGGTTATAGATATATACGGAACATGACAGTGATACACAAAAAAGCACATGTTTATGAAGTATTTATAGCCATAAAGCTTTTCACAAAAACTGCTCAATGTGTCCACTGTTCAAGTCTTTGCACAACTGCAGTCTTACTGGTAGTGATAGATAAACTTGCTGGCATAACTCCACTGGCAAGCTCCACTTTGTGGCAACATTTGTGTCCTTTAGTGCTGTAAGAGTCTGAAATTTTGTTGCATACACAGTGTCTTTGATCACCATGAATGGAAGTCAGCTGGAGTTAAGCCCAGAGACCATGCAAGCCAATCAATTGTGCTGCCTGATCCACAGGCCATGAAACATTTTTTTCAAAAAAGTTGTGAATGTGGCGAGTGCAATAGACTGGAGCATCATCTTGAATGAAGATAGAAGACAGCCATCTTGAAAAGCTGAATAAAGGAGTTATTACTACAATAGTATTTCAAATGAATTAAGGAAATCTTAAGGTGAGACTATGCTCTGGTGCATTATGCTAACCACATTTGAGACTTTTTGGGCAAAGTATTTCATGGTCAGTGGATCAGGTGACATAGATAGATTGAATGACCAGCATGGTGTTTTAAATTAACTTCATCTGACTTCTTTTTATGGGGATCAATCAAAGACACTACATGCAACAAAATCGTGGAATCTTCCGGCACATCAGGACACAATCGTTACCACAACGCTAAGCTAGCCAGTGGGGTTATCCCAGTGAGTTTACCTATCGCTACCAGTAAGACTGCAGTTGTGCAAAAAGTTGGACAGTGGACACATTGAGCAGTTTTTGTGCATAGCTTTATAGCTATAAATACTTCATAAGCATGTGCTTTTGTGTGTATCACTGCCAAGTTCCATTGCTTTTAATAGATTTAATGGAGTTCAAATGTGTTTCCTTACTTTTGGCCCAATCTGTATATTAATCTTATATTGTGCATTAGGAGTCCAACATCTTTCTAACAGATACACTCAAGAGTGAAATGTCTTTCTCATAGAGCTCATATCTGGTTATAAACTATTTGGAATAGATGCCATCACCACGTGGAGGAGTTGAGCTGGACTACTCTCGTTGGATGCAGAATCTCATCGGAATCCTCATGATCGATGTCTTGCACAATGAGGAACATCCCATGCGTGAGTTCCTCCCCGATGTAAAGAATCATCTTTGGATCATGTTACTGAAATTTTGATGGAAACTTGTTTGGGATTTGAACAGAAGAGAAGGTGGACATAACATTAGAGGTGCGGCTGGGCTATCGAAATAAAGGTGATGCACCAGGGGACTGGAAACTCTTGGCCGAATCACAGGAAGTCCGCAGCCTTCATTGCAGCATTAATCAAGTAATCTTGATTTTTCATCTGTTCCTCTTCTGCAGAAATTCTATTGCAATTTAAAATATTTTCCTGATGCTGACAAAGGAGGTCTTGTGCGCAAATGTGTGCCTTCCCAACTTCCAGGAGAGGTGGAGGAAGTGATACATAATAGACTTGCCCTGGGTTACTACAGACCTTTTTCTTTCATCATCTGGGTTGCTTTTTATGTTGGCAATTTTTCTTGTGGGAACAATAGGCCCTATGCCCAAGCCTAGTCCTCTCCCATCCCGATATCTGATTTCTGTAGGCATGAACTACCTAACTTACTGTTATACTGATAATGCCATATTCTCTCGTATTCCTACTTCATCATGGGAAGAGAGAGAGCCAACATAACAGTGCATCCAAAAAATTTGTTTTCACACTGGTATCAGCAGTTGAAAATGGACTTTACAGATTACATAGACTTTGGATTTATTTGAATGTTTTTAGGCAAAGGACCATTACCTATACGACTGTCCCATTCTCCCCCTGTTCGAACTGGGAAGTCTGCATCACGACTACTACCTTCTCAATGTCCGCATCCCCGTCGAGAAGAAGAATGTAAAAGGGCAAGTAGTGGAAGTCAATGCAGGACTTGGGAGCATTGAGGATCTGTGGCTTGTGGTATGCACTCCGACATATGGTTTTCCACGAAGTGATGTGTCTCATCTGATCGTTGAGAGCATTGAATGGTGTCACGTATTTCCTGCAGGCCATCAATCAGAATGGGGGCTTCACAAAAGTGTGGGTGTCACTCAAGACGACGTTCTTCCCGATCGTCATCGGGGCATGGCATGGTTTTGGCATCGCATCACCCTTCTCTCTCAACCACCTGCTCTCTTGGAACGCATGCTGCTTGCTCTCGGCTGTGCACTCTCCATCCTCAACTGTCTCTATCCTTTTCATTCATTCATTTCTTAAATCGGCCCTCCACTTCTTCTTGAAAAGTAATTGCAATGTTGGTGAAATTTTACAGTGCCATTGGAATATCTGAGCCTGTTCATCAACATGCCCTGGATGCTGCTGTTCTCAGATGTACGGCAAGGAATCTTCTATGCCACTCTCCTCAGCTTCTGGCTCATATTTGCTGGCGAACACCTTATGGTCTGTTGGATCATACACATTATCATTGCCATGACATCCTCTTTGAACTGTTGTTTGAAACCTGCTTCTTTAAAATATATATATATTTTTTTAAATGAAGGATGAGGTGAAACGTAATTCACTGAAGGCATACTGGGGACACCTGTCTGCTGTGTTCTTTGGTTGTTTCTGCCTGTTTGTGTTCGACATGTGTGAGCGGGGGACACAGCTTCAAAATCCCTTCCATTCCATCTGGGAGACTGCGCCTGGCTCCCACTTTGCTGTATCCTTTCCATGCATCTTACAAGTTGGAATTATCTGTTGTACATTTAAAAATAATTGAATGGAACACCTTGGAGATGGTGCAATCATGATTGCAAGTGATTTGGTTTCAGGACTGTGAAGGAGAAATTATTATTTGTTTTGATGTAAGCCCTAGTTTTGTTGTTGAAGCTATTGACTGTTCACCCATTCTGGAACCTTGGGTTTCCCAGGCATCTCCTTATTGCGGAATTTTTCTTGACTTGTGCTGCAAAAACAGTTTGCTTTCATCATCCTGGCAGGAATTTCTGCTTGCATATACTTCCTGTTTCTGGCATACATGATCTACCGTGTATTCATCAACATCAGTGCCAAGCAGAGTGCTCTCCCCTCCATGTCTTCCCTCCGTCGCATGCATTACCAGGGAATCATCTATAGATTCAAGTTCCTCATGCTTTTCACACTCCTTACGGCTGCTTTGACTGTCATCAGTTTCATCATTGGACAGGCAAGAGCTTTCATCATGCACAGCCTTGTCATTGCTTGTTTCAATGTGTCACTCTTTTGTCTTCTTGCTCTTTCAGGTCTCAGAAGGGAGATGGAAATGGGATGAAGACATCACAGTGGAATATACATCAGCCTTCTTCACTGGTGTTTATGGGATGTGGAACATCTATGTCCTCGCACTTCTGGCATTCTATGCTCCTTCACACAAGAAGCAGCCTGAAGAAGTAGATCAGCCCTCTTCTGTTTTTTATATCCCATGGATAGGAAATACGAGGAAAATCCTGTCGAACAAGCTCTCTGCAAAATTTAAATTTTTACTGGACGTTTCTGAACCCGCTCCAAGCTAGAAAAAATATTCAAATGATAATTCAACAGGAATTTTGAACTCTTGAACTTCTGATTGACGCAATGGTCATTCTTTTCCATCTTGCCCCCAAAATTGCTCCTTCATCATCCCTCTGTCTCCCTGTGCATTCTTAAGATTTTCCCCAGGTCAACCCTCCGCCCCCAAAATCACTTTGTTCATGCACCACCTCTTTTGTTGCGGACGAATGAAATTATTTTAAAAGAAACCTTGACGGTTTCGAAGTAAAGAGCAGATATCTATTACTTTCATTGTACCCCCTCCCCCCTCTTGCTAAATGGACTATGTACTTTTATCTGCCCAATTTATATATGATGTCTAGTAAATATATGTCTTCTCCTTATTTTTTTTTTACTTGTATACTTGCATATAGCATATATATATATACTGTATATATACAGGGTGGTCCAAATAAAACCGCCCCAAATTTGAAGCTTAATAACTTGGACCCCGTTGGGCCAATACCAGTTTTTAAAAAAGCAAAATGAAGCTTGTTCAATTTTCTTTCGAATGATATATAATTTGGGCTTGCCTCAGAGAGCTTTGAGCTTGCTTCAAATTTGGGGCGGTTTTGTTGGCCCACCCTGTATATATTAGGTTTCTTTTTTTTATATCACTTGGTTTTTCTTTTAAATAATTTTTTCTATACTGTACATTCTTTTTTGTTATTAACAAATCAATGTTGTGATGCAAGTATCTAATGCCTATATATCAAGTATTTCTCTTTTCTCTCCATAATTTAATATATATGGTCTAACCCTTTCCATGACATAATATGTCATGGAAATCAATGTCATGGAAAGGAATCGCAGGATAACAATTTGACGTCCACATTCTCCATACTTCCAGAGTCTTGATATGCTGAGGACAGTTTTATTTTCATGAATTGAACAATTTGAAAATAAACAAATAAAATTATGTCTTCAAATGAAGACATTGCCAGAAACAGGCAACATGGAAGTCTTTTCGGAAGCGAAAGAGAGAACGTGAGTTATAATTGGAATTTTCATTTTTTACAACCAAATTATTCCAATTATTCTTGTTGTGCCAATTTGCAAAAGATGTCAGGTATGAAGATGATTGGCTATTTGAGTTTTTGGATCTCGATTTCCTCGTTCAGCGCTGTATTTGCATATTTCTGCTATAAAATTTGCCTTATTGGATCTTGGTGTTCTGGGAATTTTTGCCTCCGTCGCACTGGGTCTTTCCGAAATGACGTCAGAAAAAACCAAACTCCGATTTATCGGAATCCATATAGATTTGGAACTGTGAATCCGCTTCCTCCTGGATTCGTCATTCTTCGGTACAGAATGCATGTATTGAGGAAATCAACTCTTTTTAGGTCCCAGAAAACGAGCGGTACAACTTTTGGGCATTTTCCTATCGAGTTTTGTCAACATGGACAACCTACATTCGCAAAGCAAATTACAATTACTCGGGATAAGGTCCCCAACAAAAGCAGATTTCGATATAACTCCACCAAGTGCTAAGAAAGCCATTGGAAATCTATCTTAAAATTCACCAAGTGCAGAGGGAAATTTGACACGAATTCTGATTTGGAACGATCTGGAATTACCCCGCATCATCTGGTGGAAAGAGAAAGAACGCCCCGGGGGGCTACGCCACTCTCTCGTCTGACATTTCCATCGTCCCCGGCCGCGAAACAGTCCGTCAATGGCAAGGTGTACATCCTCGAACGGCGAATAGGACTTCTCAATCTTTCGGTTAGGTTCGCACAAATGGAATGTCCTTCAGTGGGGAATCGCGACACTAGAAAAACCGTGCTTAAGTTGGTTCGGGCACTGCATCACGTGCGAATGGCGTCACTGAAGCTAACTCTGCGCTCTCGACCAAACCATTAAGTTACTCTATTTCGATTGACACGATAGTAAGTTGGCATGACCGGTGATCGTGCTCGGTGCAATGCATCTCGTCTGCAAGGATCCTTCATCTGCACATGAAAGCACAAATGCTTTCACTGCTGGATTAAAAATAGAAAGCATACAGTGTTAAGTTTCAGTCCATTCCGATGTGATGTTGCGTCATCACGAGCACATCCTTTTACTCTATTCCCAACGAACTGCTACTCTGGGCGTTCTGAGACCTGAAACTGACCAGATAGTGGATCTATTGATGCGACTATCAAAGTCGGTGGAAAACGCAAAGGAATCACTATTTTTATTCGTCCACATCATAACCAAAGCTTCTTACTGGGTCCTTCCATGTTCTACTCGCAATCGCGCGGTCATCAGATGAGAAGATAGGTGTCCTTTTTTTAAGTGGCTCTGCGTACGCCTCCAGCATTTCAATACATCATGTGCGTGCCAGCCTGTTCAGCGATCTCGCAGTTAACTATCAGCTACTTGTCGGAGCGTGACGTCTTTGAGTGACAAAGTTGCTTCAGGTCACTGACGGCTGCTGTATTTTTTTTGCCAGCAGCCGGAGAAAAAGACTTGCCTCATACTTTCTGAACGAACGTTCTGACCAGTGCTCAAAATGGGGAGAGATGCCATCCAGACCAAATCAAAATGGGGAACGACAAAGGAAGAAAGGAAAGCGTTCAAGATTACTTAGATTTTTCTCAAAATAAAATAGTTGTGCGGGATCGGCCAAGACAGGACCAGCACGAGAGCGGCTCACGAACAGCACAGCACGAATTCATTGATGGTTGAAACTAAACTTGTATTTAAAAGCTTGAGACCTGAGGGAGCGTTAAATACTAGTATAACCAGGAGTGAAAAATGGCAACAACGTAAGAGGACGGACAGGGTGTCCTGCCTCAAAAATGACAGTAGAATCATGTGCATCATAGTTATTCAGTTCTTGGACTACTTGATTGAGCCTTGAACGTAAGAAAAAGCCAATGGGCTGGTGCTGCGAAAAAAAGCACAGTGAAGGAGTTTATTTCACAATTTTATTTCATGAAAGAAAAAATATTCAGCAATTTTTTCAAGTCGTTATCAGAGAAGGCATGACTGAAACATGAACTACTCGAAAAGGTATTAGCATACAGCATAAAAATGTGTATTCACATAAGAAGCATGGGGGATGATGCTCATTTTCGATTCGCTTGTCTTTCTGCCTAGTCATCAGTCCTTGCCCAGTCAAGTAAATGACTTTCGAGCAGAGGACATCATTCAACTCGATATACGAGAGCAAGGCAGATGACAAGCTTGAAGATTTATCAGAAATCCTGCTGACAGCGCAGCCAAATACCTCAGCTCCACCACTAAATCACTAAGGACCTGGGAGAACTCCTTTTCCAAGGTATAAGGACAAAGTCACACTTCTCTTGGAGCCAAGAGATTGGCTGCATATGTCAGCAGGGCTTAACCTCAGCATCCAGTCTTCTTGGGTTGCGGGTTCAACCGTCTCGTTAGGTCCAATGTGGTGAATGTCTGCAAAAACATTTAAAAAAAACATCTGTTTATGGCACAATAAAGTTTCACGAACCTTGTAGATGTCTGACTGAAGCAGTCTCAAATCTGAGTTTGCTGGAAATAGTCTCCAACAAACAAGTGTTCAGATTCACCAAAGGCAGGAGACCAGAAGTACCATTTTTTGGATTACAAGAGTAGTTCTCATGTGAGGATTTAAAAAAGTTCTTCAGTGGCAATCATACTCCAGCTCTAATGCTCGGACCCAGATTAAGAAGGTGGGTCCAAGGATTACAGTCTATTCAGAAGATTAGGATTTGATTAAATTGAGAAAGTCCAGTGTAATGAAGAAACAGTTTGCAGTATGGAGGGGCTCTAATGAATGAAATATGAATATCGATCTGGAGAAAAGACTTTGTTCTGATTGGTAAAGGATGATTACTGGTGTTCAAATTAACTAAGGTTGATTGTACTTAAGATGAGACAAACCTCGGCATTAGTGGGATGGATCCCAATCAAGGATTCAAAATCAGATTTCTTGGCACCCATCTTCACAGCAAGGGCAAAGCCTTGTGTCATTTCACCAGCATTTGGACCCAGGACATGAAATCCAATAACACGCATCTAGAGTAACATCAAGAAGGCATAAGATTGAATATTTTTATGAGATGTTGTATGCTATATGAGGCAAGCTAAGCAGGAAAAACCATGGCATGGTGAGAAACCTTGGAAGAGGGATCAGGATAAATGTAGGAAGAGATCTTGGGGTCAACAAGGGTAGAGGAATTGTTCCTTTGACTGTCAGTGACTAACATATGGGCTCCAGGGGCTGTATCTCTGGACTTGAGACAAGGACACATAGGGAAAACCCAACAGCTCAATCTACTATCTCCTCCCAGTTCTCTATCCTGGATCAACAGCCTCAATCCCTATCTTTCTTGCACTTCGTAGTCTCATGAATGACAACAACAATGTGCTTTGCTATCAGGAAGGGTACAAACTTCATGCATTTCTAGTGAATCTCCATGGTCCCTTAGCTTCTTGGGAGGAGGGTGAGAACCTTTGATGTTCAGAGAACCCTGGGTAGAATCCTTATCAGTCAAATATGGTTTCTGAAGGATAAAGGCAGGTGGGACCAGAGGATGAATGGAAGAAAGTATTTTAAGCATATCAGATAGTGCTTACCTCTTCAGACTTCACACAAACCAGTTTCCCATAGCAGGCATTATCATCACGATGAGAAACTGTGAACTCGAGTGGAGTGAAATGTGTATGATAGACCTCGATGTTCTCCTCTCCATATTTCTGGATGGCAGCCTCTTCAGAGAATCCCACACACCCATATTCAAGAGGGGTGAACACAGTTGTTGGTACATTCACATAATCTGTCAGCTCTTTCCTCCCAGCAAACAACCTCTGCAATAAAAACCCAAGTAGTATATATTAACTGCAGTAGGTGCCAAGACAATAAAGCACTCTTGGAGTGGGTGCTATAACAAATGTGCCATAAAATGTCTCCTGTGCTACAAGGATAAATAGTTTAAAAATCAAAATAGTGAGAAACGTCCACATACCCGGGCCAGAAGTTTGCCAGCATGGATAGCCACGGGTGTGAGCTCCAGCTTTCCATCAAGAATATCACCAATAGCATGAATATGCTCCTGTGTAGACTGTTCTGACTTATCACATATCACTTTCTGATTCCTATACAAAGGAAGGAAGATGCAATGCTTCACATAAGATAAGACATAATTAATCTTCAGATGTTTCAGGCACAAAGGTTTGATAATAGAAGGCTACAATGGCAACACTCCAGTTGGCAAAAGTCTTTGCTTTAAAAGAATTTAAAAAAAATGAAAAAACTCATGCAGCATTAAACAGAGACTACCAAAAATGTTTTTACCTGTTTCAGCCTATTCTTTCCACTCAAGAAAATGTAACTTAAAAAAATGACAAAACCAAATTATGGCTAAGACTTCAGCTGAAACAAGATAGGTATTTAGAAGACTTTCTGGCACATGGTATAACTCATAATGATGTCAGAATGGTTGAAACTGTCCAAGAATGAAGGTTCTTGCCTTTTTTCAAATCTCATTGCAAATACCTTGATAGTGCTAGCAACAACTAGCTCAATCTACAACGTGCATATCCTTCTGTGGCACCATGACTCTCAGAAGAGGGTGTTGATATAGATGACTACTTCACAACTAGACAAAACTTTCAGGCAGTGAATTCACCACCACAGCTCAGAACCAACTAATTGGCAACTTTTCAATTTTAATTGATTTTCTTCATTCAGTGGCTCATCAAAAAAGACTTAAGAAGTGTGGGGATGTTTATGAAATGTTTAAGCCTCTGAACTTGGTTAAAAGAAGAGTAAGTAGGATTTGAATGTCCTCACTGTGGGTTGATCTTGACATCAATATCTTCAAGACCTATTCCCTTTGTGCAGGCATCTCGGCCAATGGCAAAAAGGACAGTGTTGAATTCCTCTATAATCTCCTCTCCTGTCTCAACATACTTTCCTGTCACCTGGAAACCATGACCCCATAGTATTCATAACCCCTAGCTATTACTGACCAATGCAGATAGACAAAATGACCAACCCTGAGAGTGGGTGGAGTACCATCCTCAATTTTTTCTATCTTGGTTGGTATGCACTGTTTGATAAAGCGAATCCCTTGCTGCTCCATGTAACCTCCAACCAAATTGGCCATCTGCTGATCAAACCCTCGTAGGAGTATTGAACGTACCTGCATAGAGGACCAAATATAAGATGCCACAAGAGACTAAAAAATGGTATTTTTAACAAGAGGTTAAAAATTAAGAAGTTGCTTTTTTCTGCTACAGAGCATGGAAAACTTGGATTAAAGATGAAATTTCTATGTGAAACAGGCAATATCCATAAAGGGATTCCTACCATGACAGCAGATTCAAAACCAACACCATGAAGGAAGCCAGCACACTCAAGGGAGACGTAAGATGCACCAACGCAGAGGGTCTTTCCTGGAGGATATGGAAGGGAAAAGATGTCATCACTGGTGATCCCATACTCTGTGGCTCCCGGAATATCTGGATATCTTGGGCGTAGACCAGTAGCTATGATGAACTTCTCTGCTGTCACTACCTTTTCCTTTTTCTTCTTATCTAGAGACTACATTGGAATAAGTTACATAATAACATTCCTGCACATAAGCAACAGAGAAGAGAGGGGCAAAAAAATGAATGATAAAACTAACCTTGACAGTGTGCGGGTCAACAAATGAGGCAAAGGCATTGAAATAATCCACATTCTTGTCCCGCAAGGCAACTCGATAGCCCCAGTTCAAAGAGCCAATGTAATTTTGTACTTCCATGACCAGATCTTCCCACTTGTGGTTGACTGTCATTGAAAAAGAAAAATTACAATGCATACCTATGAAAGACAAGAACCATGAATGAGAAAGAGGGGGATATGAAATTCACACACCATTGTCAGGTACTTCCCAGCCATAGGACTTTGCATCCTTGATGGCTTGCCCAAGGAGGGCTGCTTGATGCATGAGCTTCTTAGGGATGCATCCAACATTAACACAAGTACCTCCAAGACCCCAAGTTGTTCCCAAGGGAGTTGGAATCACATAATCAAAAACTGCAACTTTCATCCCCAGGGATGCTGCCTCCTATTACAAGAGTAGGGATTTCTTGAACTCTCCTCTTATTAAGAATTATGGCACCATACATTCTGACAAAGAATGAAATAATCTGTCTTTCTTCTTTACTGTACTTCCTATCCATAGTCTCAAATTTATTGGCAATAATTGCAGGAAAATATGTATTCTCAGATAGAGAGTGACATATAGACATATATGGCATTCCTGAAATGTGACATGGGCCTTGGACCATCAAGCTTAAATGACTAATGGCGAAAAGATTCTATAAGATACTTAGAGTTTGGAATATGATTAATGGAATGTTAAAATGGGAAAAGGAATTCCGAAATATTCAGGAACATAGTGGAAAGGCCTGAAACCTGAAGCTTTTGATGAAACTGAAGCTGTTGATGCATAAGCACTTTTATCCAGTTGATCTCATGCTAGATACCATATAGGTAGTATTTGAGCATACTTTGATAACAGGGGATATTATATGCTTAGACAAGAAAGGACTTGATAATATCTGATCAAGGTTATCAGGAGACAAAAATTTTCCCTATAGCCAATTCCCATCGGAATCTGCTGTCGATATGGCCAACTTTAGCACCATAATCCATCGGCAGGTTTGCACGTTGCCAATGCCGACATCAAGTCTCCCCCACCCCCCTCCCCCGCGGAACACGCGTGCGTTTGAAAGCGGTTGAGCGCCGGACTCCCCATCTCTTTTGGAAGAAAAGGAACAGGTCCTTCCGGGCCGTCCCATGCAAAACATCCTAGTAGTACGTGGCTCAGTTACCGAGACATCAATCGAATGATGGCATCGATCATACTGTTGGACTTCTCCAGTCAGTTCCGAGAAGACGCGGGCTTATACCGGTTCTGGTATCTCTCAAGCAACTAAAATCAACATATCACAGAAGCCGATGCAGAAATCTCACAACTGCTTACATCGCGTCGAACCGAATATCTGTCAGTTTTCTTTCCAAAAAATATAAAGGTCTATGACCTAGGATTGCACTTTTTAGCCGAGATATTTTCTGCGTCCCTTCCGCTAAGAAGTCTATATTTTAAAACGTTATTCAGCCAGTCTGCCACAGCGACTCGTCAAATGATGGAATCGGGAATTACGTATGTTTTACCGTGAAACACATGTATCCAGTCTCCCACCCGCGTAAATCCCGTTTTGGAGGATCAGTCTCTTCAATCGCATAAGACAGCATGAAGAAAAAGTTGATAGCGTAAAAGATTAACTATGAATTTGGGATATGTTGGCTTCCCCTCCCCCTCTATTTTCTAGATGGTGCTTCGATAATAAAAAAAAGTGCCTCGTTGTTTTGGAACACAGAGGGCAGATATATAATGGAAAATTGTTGTGGAATTAAAAAAATATCAATAACTTCGGTCACGGCTTCTGCTCAAATATGCCTTCCGAGTTCCCTGACGTAAGCATGCAATTCACAGTTGCAATTCCAAAATTGCTTAATTAATCACGCACTGCACCAAGCTTTCTACACTGGCTGAAGCGGACGCAATAGCAGGGATGTCAGGTGCATTTTTTATCCTTCTAGTTTGAACCACTGTAGCACGTGGCACATTGGGTCGATTTCCTTCACATTCAGCCTAAAGCTTATATCTATTCACATGCGGAGTTAAAAAATTGGGTTCATCGAATAAAACTTCTGATCAATATCATAAAAAAACGATTTGGCAAAGTTTCTTTTTAAACACCGCGTACACTCGGCATTCGTCGCTGCACGGGATCATAACCGCCCTAAGACCGTCATCGGTACAGCCTTATCCTTGAGTCAAGAGGTTCTTGCTGTGCTTCAAAGTTGTACATGATAAGGTTTTTTAGAATGCTTTTGGGGAAAATGATGCAGGTGGTCTCATAGAATACGATACTTGAAAGGGTTGCTCCATCGACATCGAAATCATATTTTACACACATTTAGAACAGATAACGAGTCACAGGGTAAAACAATCTAAGTTTGGACACTATTCCATACGTTATTACAAGACCAAGAACTTGTGAGCTATCCTTCAGAAACTGTTATTCACAGCTTGGAATAGTTGTTTCTGAGGGTGACCTTGCAATTGATTTGTTCAATAACAATTTATGTTAAAGCCATCTAAGCATCTAAGTTTGTGTCCAAACTTAGATGGCTTTACTCTATGCAAAATATTATTTCAGTTAGGAATGTGAGCAATGTATACATGTTGCAAGCTGAAGACAGAAATTTAAAAAAAGGCAGTTTTAAATGTTTAATTGTGCTAACTAAGTTTCAATCAGTCAAAGGCAGTCTTATAAATAGTGGCAAACTTATGCTTTGAAATAAGTACTGGTAATCTGTGGAGCTTAAGGATTCACTTAGTCATTTCATGAATTCACACTTATTTAACAGCTACAATGGGAACATTCTGAGTTTTGAGCAAAGCACAAAAGGAAAAGTGACATGAAAAATGCACAGGAAATGCTCCCATATAGAGGATTGTGTAACATTGGCCTGAAACACCTTTAAAAGTGATGAGACTCACCTTGGAGGCTGAGAGTCCTCCAGAACCTCCTCCAATGACAACAAGATCATAGTCATAATTAGTCTTTGGTTTTGCTGGCTCTGTTGGTGCCATCTCTCCTTGGATGATTTGCTTTAAGCGACCTGCACGTTGTAGTTCCTTCAGCTTGTCAGCCCCACCAATGTGTTTCTGTTTGATGAATATATTTGGTACTGTCCTTAGCCCAGTCAGCTGTAGCAAATGGCGTTGAATGGCATCTCCATCCTCTATTTAAAAAAAATATATATATATACATTTTAAAATTAAATGTCACCAATTAAAAAAAAATACTCAAAACAAAAGATACCAGTACTAATTAAACATGAAACACAACCCAACCAAGAACTTCATTATCTGAAAGTTACTCAAGATATGCAATATTCATAGTATAGCTTCACAATAATTTTTGTTGATACTTTCAGTAACATCATATTTCATGAAAAATCAAGGAAAATCAAGGAAGTAAAGGGTACAATACCAAAAAATTACAGAAGAGGAATAAGACAACATATAAAGACTGAGTTGTTAAAACACATAAACAATATGACAGAAGACCAATATGACAACATATAAAGACTAAGCTGCTTTTCTCCATGTAGCAGTAGAAATCCTGATAAATCTGTGAGGATGACAGCCATGAATTTGATTCCATAAAATATTTAAAACCCTCTGATGATGTACTGCAGTAAAATAAAACCTAGAAACCTGGGGAATGATCCAACACTATATCAAGAGTTTTTGAATAAAGGCAGATAGATTTTACCTGCCTCCAACACCCAGGACAATGAGAGCTTCCTCTACAAGCAAATTCAAAACAAAATCACCTAGTATTAAAAAAAACAATCCAGCAAAGTCAATTATAAAAGTATCCCACTCAACTGAAACAAACTACAAATGAAAAAAGATATACTGTATTTATACTCTAAATATGGCCTTTAAATAATAGGATTCCCCATAAAGATTAGGAAAAAATTTATTCAAAACTGACTAAAAATGAAGGAGCACAATGACAGGGATGATCTTGAGAACCAGGCCACCATCTACTAGTTACAACAGCAGAGTGCAATAGGTTACTGATAAGATTGCAGTCCTCAGTTACTCCCCCACGGTCTGTTATCATTTCCGCCCAGTAACCTGGCAGTCAACACTTCTCTTATCTTCATGCCAGGCATGAGATCATTCCCCTATTCACAACTCATTTTTTTTTCATGCAGGTGTTATCAACACCTGCACTGAAATAAAGTTCACTTGTAAGGATGTGTGATGTTATCTAACAACTCAGGTGTAGGCCTACCAGTTCTGTCTGGAAGATTGGAAGTCTGTGATCTCTGCCTGTAAGGCTCTGAACATGGTATACCCATTGCATTGTGTGTAGTGGACCAGTGGCTTCAAAAAAGGGAAGTGGACTGTCATGTGAAATGCATACTACAGGAGTCTACCTTATATGTTACCATGGAAACTAGTATTGATTAGGGTGGAACATGAGAACTACATATTGCCAACCTTACTAAAACCCACTATCTGCCAATACCATCAACACCATGCTTCACAGAATCATCACAGCCACTGCACAACCAATTGGTGGGCTACGTTCCCATTGAGTCTAATAGTACACCGAGTCCCATAAATTAGTCAATGATGTTTTCCAGTTGACTCAAAATGATCAAGTTGGCTATAAAACCATGAAGCTGAAACTCCCATAGCCTATATGTCCTGTTCTCAAATTTGGAGATGAATTGGGCATCTGCCAGGATAATTACCCATACCCCAGGCAGCACTTGATGTACACCCACAGTATATCTTCACACCTGGAGGATATAATGCAGACCTAGGTAGGAAGTCTGGTGCAGCCAGGGACATTAATTGAATAATATAAATGAATTCTTTACAAAGGCATACAAATCCTCCAAATCTATGACTGGTTCCATTAACCCTTCAAGCACAGAGTTTTGACTTGACCTCCTAAGTGATGAACATATGGTGTGTGTGAAAATGACTTGAAGGGTTAACTAATTTTCAGAAAAGGAGGTCTTCACTGCTTTCTAAGTCAGCAGTCCAACATGACTGAACACCATTTAAATATGTTACCATGTGACATCAGGCATGTCAAAGGGGTATTTTATGTCCTCATCACAGATGCAAAACAATGTAAGGCATTTCACATCCAATCAAGGTAGAGCTGAAAGCAAAAATGATTGACTAAAATCCTTGACATAACCTAACCAGCCCAGGGGCATCTGACACATTCATCCTCATCCCTGGCTTAATGCTGTTCATTCAAGTTTTCTCAGTGTGGTTTGACCTTATGGTGGAGTGCACACTATACCAACACTGGTATATTTATCAAGGGGTCTAAAAGAGAATAGAAATACTCTCTATTTTGCAAAGTCTATGCTTTCAGTCAGCACCTTACACCCTAAATGAACTTACCTTAAATGTAATTCTTTACACCCATCTAGACCAACCTGCAAGTGAACATGTGAGCTATGAGAGCCGTGTGCAGAATGGCAAAGACTATGAAAATGTACTGGGATAAAACATTAATTTATATGCATGAACATTATAGCAATACTCCTGAAATAATGAAAACACATGACATCCCTTGATCTGAAATGATAATGGGAATTTTTGGGATTGGTGGATTGGATGAGACAAGGATCTACTTCATAGAAGATTTTGTAGCTCATTTTCCCAAGATTGAATATAATGGTATTTTCATTGAATGATCATATCAAGAGGTCTCCCCAATTGCCTGCTTGAGATAAAGGGACACATTCCTGACAGATGGAATATCTTTTGAGAATAATCATGTGATACTAACAACATGCCATCATAGGCATAACCACAGTGATATTGAAACTTTTGACACTGAGCATTGGAAGCTGAAGTGCAATAAACTAGCATCATGCTTCATGATGCACACAGTTTCAGTTCTGCCTAGACATCTACTAGCATGAAGATACAAAAATACTTTTTAAAAACTTGGCATCAATTAAAACATTCTTTTTTCAATGAGGAACTCCTTCCTGTTCTAATTATATCCACTACTAAACGAAAGTGTAAGAACCAAAAAGAAACCAGAACCAAAGTGTAAGAACCAAAAAGAAAGTGTACAGAAGTACACTTTCTTTTTGGTTCTTGAGAGTGGAAATGAGTGATAAAAATATGAAAATGAGTCATAGTTACTAATAGTAAAATTATTAATAATAATATTAAAAGTAAATAGTCATTATCTAAAAAAATATCCTGACTGGACTGACACACCATCAAGTAAACTTAAAGTGAATATGCCATAGCACTGCAATATATTAATCAGAGAGTGAAACATTTTCTTGAATGGCTACAAATTAAGGAATGTGAACACTAGGAATGGGGTTGACTCACCAATGAGATCAAGCTCCAAGGCATGAAAATTCACACCCAAAGTTTGGAAGATGCTTTTCACCTGAAAAAAAGGCAAACATGTTATAAAACTTCATCACACAGCTATAAAATGCACATGTGCCTTGCAGATAAAAAAATCATATAGGCAGTTTTCAACTTACCTCATGACAGAAGGGACAAAATGATTTACTGAAGACCACGACGGAGTTGTCTTTAATGTAGTTTTGCACAGTAAGACCAACATCTTGTTTTTCTATAGGGGCCATCCTTGGACTTAAAACAAAAGAGCTCAGGGCCCTTTTGACACAACTGGGAGGCTCGAAGTTGGATTGCAAATTATTCCTACAACAGGACCTGAAGCTCCATGGCAATTTATATACTCCTGTAGCAAATGTTCTTCTTATGCACCAGCTCCCATGAAGACTCCTTCCTAATAAAATCTTTCCAATTTCTAACTTTGACCTGAAAGATAGATGAACATGAATGGCACTTTGCATTGTTAAGACATATGTTAAGGAAGTCATGTCTACTTCATGAACTCAACTGTTCCTCTAATAAGAGCTTGAGATTCTTTCTTGCATCTAAGGACTAGAACAAACAAGGGTTGGATAGTTAGCAACTTGTAATTACATAATACTTATGTAGGGCATTCTGAATCTGCCAAAATCAACTTCTGCTGCATCCTGAGGACCTTTACCAGTTGAAACAATACTTACAGAGGGGGATTTGTGATTGAATGAAGTGGTATGACTGATACTTTTTCTCAACTCTATCTGCCTGTTACATAAGACTTCACAGGAGGCTATAATGTTGTCTGATAGCTTCTAACAAACTCAGTGTGGACTCAGGACCAGGACACACTCTTAGTCTTATGCCTGCTGTTTTGTGGCATTTTTTCCCCTCTCAAAGGAAATCAGAGGACTCCCAATCTCCACCATTCTTTGCAAGTTAGTTACAAAGATGGAGAGGAAATCAGAAGTCTGTCGTTGAAACTAAAAGAGTTGGCTACACTATCCTCCAACAACCTTTTCTTCTCTCTCTTCTCAAATCACTAACAGTTACACCTCCTTTAACCTTACGTAAGAGTTTCCAATCTGGCTGGAGGAGCAGTTAATAGGGTTCAACTTTAATATCCTCCAGTCAGATAATTTTAATCCTCCAAAGATCCACCATTTCGGACCTATACGATACTTACGCTAATGCATAAGTCGCTCAAGGTGCGTACTAACGTTAGGCCTATAGCTAGAAACACACTCGTAAGGGCAATCGGTGTCAAACGAAGTACTCCCTATTTATGTCAATCGTGACAACACCATCAAGTACTTGGCAATTAGAACACTAGGAATATAACAGGTTTGCATGCTTATCTTCTAGGCTACGGAAATTTTCTATCTTGAAATGAAGGCTACAAGGGAACGGAACGAAAATAGGGGCAGGTGGAAGACACCGAAAGCGGACCTACCTCAACGAGGCAGCCATGCCATCGGATGGACGAGGAGCACGACTGACGTTTGATTCCCGCCTCTTATGACGTCATTCAGTCCATCGTGTCATCATTGTGTTCCTTGAGAAGCACCAAGTTAAATATACACGGGAGAATAGACCAGGTTCTTTTTTCTTCTGAATGCTTACGTAAATTCTCATTGAATTTAGCCCGTTCCTCTCCCTGGATCCTCGGGTTTTAGGCAGTGGCGTAGCCAGGTTTTCGTCAATGGGGGGGGCTAAGCGGAAAGTTGGGGGGCTAATGGAGGGCTAAACGGAATGTTGGGGGGGCACCATTCTTTGCAAGTTAGTTACAAAGATGGAGAGGAAATCAGAAGTCTGTCGTTGAAACTAAAAGAGTTGGCTACACTATCCTCCAACAACCTTTTCTTCTCTCTCTTCTCAAATCACTAACAAAGTTGGGGGGCTAATGGAGGGCTAAACGGAATGTTGGGGGGGGCTAACTTCGCCTCGTCGGGGTGGGGCGGACGCATTTCGACCAGAGTTGGGGGGGGGGGGGCTTGAACCAAACCTGGGGGGACTGAAGCCCCCCCCTCGCAACGCCACTGGTTTTGGGGCCTTATCCAGTAAACTCCTTACGCAGAACCCCACTAAGCAGAGAAAACTGCGCAACACATTAACTGCCATGAGGATTTCCGGTAATACTTAACAGTATCTGTTGAAGTGATGCGTAGCAGCCATTGCGTTAAGACATTGACTTGAGCAACCTGATTGAGAAGTTGACTCGAAGACTCTGCGTAATTCCTTAATCACCGTTCTTAAACCTGAAGAAACACTCCTCACTTGGGCAGTTTGTAAAATAAGAACTTAGATTCCTATGAACTTCAGATTTCCCATTAGATTTTAATTCCCAAACATGAGGGCAGTAATAGTATCCCCTTGCTTGCATCACATGGGATCGATGAGAAATGAGCCGAGATAAACATTTAATGACTTCGTGTTTCTCCCTGGGATCGATACAATTGTGGCTTTGTGTACTATGTACAATTGGTAGCTGATATGTCTTGCTTCAAAACGTATAACACGTGAAGAAAAGCGTTGCCCTGGGACTCCGTCATTTAGTTTTTCCAACCATTTTAAAGCCGATCGAAGAGGTCAGACGGGCAAAGCATTTCATTTTTGGCGGGAACTCCGAGACGAGAACGGGAGAACATTGCCAAGCAAATTGCTTCGTTAAATTCAAAACTGCCAGTCGTCTTTGCCGAGTTGTTTCACTTTGAGGAAACCTCTCGGATGTTTCCGCATTTCAGAGCAGGGTTTCTAGCATTCGAGGCGGTTATCGTTATCCAGGCACGATGCGATCTCGTCGAGTTCATTTCCCCGCTCTCATTCTTTATTTGGAATTAATTTGCAAGTATTTCATCCAGAGATTCATGCACGAGGCTCATGTGCCGAAACAGAGGAATTACTTAGACCTAGAGGATTGATACAATAATAGACGCAGCAGAGATGTTACGGAACACGGAAGACTGGATTAATACATTTATTAAGAAATTAAGAATGATTAATTTAGTAATAAATTAAAGATTAAGATCGAGAGTAGGTGCAGCGCATTGACGAAACGGCTGGCGATGCCGTTCGGCCGCCCCCGCATCACAAGAGGAGAGTTAAGTGCTGGCTCGGTGCGGTCAACATGCCACATCTCTTCTCAATCGGCAAGCCATATTGCAAAATCTGTCACATCTGGAACATGAAGAAACGCAAGCTATTGGATTATTAGAAGAGGCCAAGTATAGTCCCGTGATCCGTTGCATTTCTGCTGGCCGGGGGGGGGGGCCGCTAACTACAAGGGTGCTTCAAATATGAACGAGACTGAATTTTGTTTGAAGATTACATTCCCGACATTGGGGTGGTAATTGCGGTGCAAGGGACTGACCTTTGTTCTACGTATTTACAGAGGCGGATGTCCGTAACATCCTTGCTGAAATTCAAAATGACATCCGCGGGCGTGTCTCCTGCCATTGCTGCTGCCCAATACCTGGAATGTCATTTTTATTTTAAAATTCAGTCTCGTTCATATTTGAAGCACCCTCGTATTGTTGCCAACTTTTATTTTCTCTTTGTATACAAGGCACGCAGGCACATATGTTTCCCGGGTCTCCACGTAGGATTTTATATGGTCAAGATGCCATAGCTTCCCTCCAACAGCTTTTCTTTTTTAATGCAACTGATCCATCAGAAATTCAAAACCGATCTAAGAGTATGATCTAGCGAGCCCACTTTGTTCACTGAACTCAAGGACGTCGGTAGATCGTAATACACAGGGGCATTTTTCCTGAAACAATTCGAGGCGCAGCTCATGCTTGCAAAGCCGATGCTGGCAACCTCCGCTCTCCTGTGCAAGGCCAGGACACACTTCGGAAGCGGAACGTCCAACCTCACACGATTCTTAATTGAATGATGACGCCGAGAGATGGTCCCGCTGCACAAACACGTCCCTGGTCGAGAAGTCACGAGGACAGTCTGTGGTTGCAAGCTCTATCGGTCGCAGCCATGAGCGAGTGCACGCCATGTCGAAGCGGTAGTGAAGGCTTCGCACACCAATGTAATTGCATGCGCCTCGTTGAAACCAGACGATACAATTTTTCTATCTTTATTTGGACGCAGAACAACTTTCGCCTGCAGTAGTATGCGCCTACAGCCATGGAACTCACCATTAGTTGCGTGTAGATCCATCGATCTGATTTAATTCCCGCTCGATATCTGGGAAAGCTGAAAAAAATCTCGAGTGAATGACGGGAGTCCAGTTCAACCGATAATTCAATTAGTTTCTTTGACACCAGTATTGAAGAAAAAAAATGTATTAATAGGATCCACGCAGAGAGACTTGCACCAATTTGCTGTCGACTAATGGCAAGAGAAATTTTGACCATGATTGCAACTTACTCAACCGTTCAATCGATTAATCTCATTCAATTAGCTGTTCCAAGTTCTTCCATTTGGGTTACCCGCAATGGAAAGGAGTCAATTGAAAAGGTTTGGAATTTTAACATGAAAAGCCACTAATGGTCTCCACTGAGGCCAGAGCCCACTCTATCCACTATCATAAAACTGGAAATTACGACTCCTCCATTAGTAAGATCCTGGTTTTGAAGGGATGAAACCATCCATTTCAAAGTAGAGTTCTCGCTGGATGTTCAGCGATAGACACGAACGACCCATTACACCCAAACAAGAGCGGAAAGAACATGCACACACTTTCACCCGGGAGAAGGGAACTGGACGAAGGTGTGCGACGACCGTGGACTCAAGGCAGCGAGGGGAAAGGGAACCGGTAGGGAATGGATCTGCCCTTAGGCTCCTTCCGCTCCGACTGCCCTTCATGGAATGTGCTAGAATCAACTCCTCGAGTCTGAATGGTCAAAGGGTTTTCATAATGTAACTTCCACGTTGCTGGTGAATTCACGCAACACACTGGAGCATTCTTTCCACAGAGTGTTGCATTAAAAAACATGAATAATAATGAAATGAAACAACTTCAAATGAGCTAATGAATATAAAAAAATAGGACTCTTAAATATTTAACAAATTTTCAGTTTTGACTAGAACTTGAGGACAGGTGAAAAACGAGAAGATGCAGGTTTTTTTAGGTTTCCATAGGAAAAGGTGGAAGAGATGACGAGGATGGAACCGAGAAGGAACAAGGATGAAGGATGGAGATCCCCTAAAACGTAGAAGGAAACGAAGGAGGAGAGAATGATGGAGATGGCCGTGGCGAAGCATTTCAGGATGTTGTCCGCGTACTTCATCGTCGCCGCCACCGTCACGCCGTTCACCGCCTGCAGGGACGACAGATTTCTCGCAATCAGGGATGGGTAATCACATGCCATTTAGCCGTTCGAAAATGAACGGCTCCAGGGTCTGAAGGGCGAATATGAATACTTGAACTTTCCTTTGTGAATATGAGTGTGTCATAATGACACTTCGAATATTTGAATATTTTTTAAATATATCATCGACTACTATCTATAGACAGCAGATACTTCATCCTTTGTGAGAAAAACAAGAAAACAAAAGAATTCTAAGAATTCCAAAACGTCTACATTATTTTCAATAATATTATAAAACCACTGCGGTTTTGTCCCAGGTGTTCGAGCTCGCAACTTTTCGCATTTCCCATTTGACCGCCTGCGCTTGCGCCCGTGTTAATTGTTCGTACCGGTTGCGCAACTTCGACTTATCAATGCCCGAGGAGAAGATACAGTGGCGCAACCGAGGTTCAGTGGGTTCGAGCCACCCAAAGGATAGAACGCACGCCTCCCAAAAATCAAGCCTGATTGCGACACTGCGGTGATACCATCGGAAAACCAGCCTCGGAGGTCATACACGGGATCTCGATGATTATCTTTCCAACTAGTAGGAATGGCGTGTTTTCCAGTCATTTTTCGCGAGTGGGACAGTTGCAACAGCAGGAGTTTCCGAGTGCATAATATGCATACGCCATTGTTCGGAGAAACTTTCGAGGGAAAGCAAAGCATTGTGCTGGATGGGCACAAGCAACACAAAGGCTGGTTTCAAAACTGCAGTCCAGTTGCAGTTCCAATTCGGAATTCCTTGCGATAGAAGTCGACATTAGCACTGTGGATATTCAGTCGGACGAAAGCCTGAACTGAAACTAGAACCGAACTGCAATTGAGCAGCCGCTTCAAAATCAGCCAGAGGTTCACGGTGACCACCTTAAGTGGGGAAAGGACGGGGAAATTTTTCCTTGCCGTTCGATGGATATGAGTGATACACGGCACGATTGGCCTTTGTCGCCTAATACGACTTGTTAGGATTTTCAGAAAAGGAGTTTACACAAGGAGACCTATGGGGAAAATGTAAATCACTTGTAAATCACCTGTAAATCACTTCATTCCCAATCTAGGGAGAAAATTGAGTATTCCCAATATTTCGACTAATTCCCGTCTTTTCGACAACACCTCTAACCTGGGTTCTAGAAGATAAATTTAAACGACAAATGACGATTGATTACACTTGGGACTTCCTCAACTCGGAATAAAGCAACTTATTTTTTGGAAGATACTTTGACAATTCGAACAAATGGAAGAATTGGGCAAACGCTATTTCGAACTCCTGAACCAGAAGACAGACTCACGTTGCTGAGAGCAATATACAGACGAATAATGTATAACAGAAGAATTGGTGACCCAAAAGTCAGTTTAGCTACTCAAAGAGGTTTCTCTTAGCTCCTATGGCCAGTGGCGTAGCCAGGATTTCGCCACGGGGGGGGGGGGGGGGGACTTACTTCTCCTCGCCCCCGGGGTGGGGGGGGGNGGGGGGGGAGAGAGACTTACTTCTCCTCGCTCCCGGGGGGGGGGGGGAGGATGCATTTAGACCGAAGTTGAGGGGGCTTCAACCAAACTTAGGGAGGCTTCAGCCCCCTCCGCTACGCCACTGTCTATGGCTGGTATGGCCTTGAATCTTGGTAAAGAAGTTCACGACACCATTGGGGGAGAAGGATCATGAGTCCACCGTCATCACACGAAAGGGACACCACACATCTGTTAAAAACGGGCGCTAGTGCATTAAATATCCGTAATGCCCGCCATTTTCCTGAATGACTGTTCACTCGGGTGAGCAGATGACTGACCGTCAACTGCTACATCGAGGGTGTCCGAGAAGCGACCTCGTAGCACGTTGAATTGAATCATTCGGCTCTGTCAGTCCCACTTTTACGAGAAACTGGAATTAGTGTTCCTGCAGCACGCTTATATAGCCGCTACTAACCGATGTGAGGCGCCCTCTATAGGTGATGACGATGGGGCTCTAATCATGGGGTCTCAAGCTGCTTTACCATGATTCAAGGTCATACGACCGGTAGAGGCAGGCAAACCTCTCTGAGTAGCTAAACCGACTTAGGGGTCAACCTGTACATACATTCAGATTGAAAAACGACCAAACGCTAAAATGTGAATCGAATCGACCGAGTTAAATACCCACACCTGCATGCAAATTTCCTCCTATAATTTCTCATCGGGCCACGATAAGGCACAACCTGAATGAAGACGACGGCCCAGGTGAGCGGCGCGAACCCGGCGAGGAGCGAGGAACTCCGGCGGCAGCTCTCGACCCCCACGCCGAACGCGGCGAACAGGAGCGACCACAGGCCTGTCATGCGAGAAAGGAAATGAAAAGGACACTCCGAATCGGGGCAAAAACTTTCACCGTCTCGCCGTACGAAAGTGAGACTCACCCAACTGCATGCTGCGAACGCTCAATCGGGAATTAGATCCATGCTTCAGTGCTCTTTCGAAGTAAGTGCCAGCAAATCCACTCATGACGCACGCCACGAGCACGGAAACAAGCCCCAAACTTTGGTTCATTTGAGCATTTTTTGCAGAACAATCCGCCGGATCCAGGCAGTTCTCCTCGTGACTCGAGTACTAGAACGAATTCACATCATCGCTGTCTCCAGTTCTTGCATCACCCAGTGTTTGTAAAAATAAAAAAGGAATAAAACGAGTACCTGAACGAGAGAGACGCCGACGGTGAGAACAAGCAAGCAGATCCAATGAGCGAACTTCAGCCTCCGATTCAGCAGCAGAATTGAGAACACGGCGGTCGTCAGTATTTTCAATTCTGCAGTCACCTAAAATCCGTTCAAAGCCACTAAGGTAAGGCAGAACTCGGAGCAAATCCTGGAAATTGATGCGCTCACGGAGTATATTCCAGCGTTGAGATTCGTCAAAGCCACGTATAGCAGATTATTTTGCAGCGTGTAACAAGCGCCGGGAATGGCGAGTTTCGCCGTCTCGCCCCTCTCTTGCAATATCTCGCGCTTGAAGATATTTGCCGACTCCACCCACGACAGTCCTGCCCGAAAATCAATAATAAACGACGAGACACACGTGAAGAATTCATGCACGATCGATATGTAGCGGAGTTCCCCACTCGTGGAGACGAACAAGACGAGGAAGAAGGCGAAAAACTTGAGGATTTCCGTGAAGAACACGGCCACCGCCGCGGAATACCTCTCGTCGCTCTCATCGCGAATCACCGACCGCGAATACCGCGTGAGAATGACCATGGAGCTGGTGACGATGGTGAGCGCGACGAGGCAGATGCATTTCGGCCCGAGCATGTGTCCGCTCGTCCGTCCGCACGAGAACGAGATCGCCGCTCCTAACACCACATGGCAGCACTCGATCGAATGCGGTAGAAAGTGAAAACGCGAAGCCTTTGTGAGAGCAAGACGAGAGAAAGACGGATCGGTCATGCTAGAGGGGCATAGGCAATTCTGATTCTCCCACGTGCACGCAAGGGAGTGCGCATGCGCGCATTACTGCGCGTCATGAGGCGTAGTAGATGTCCCAGGAAGAGTCGATCTTGCCCTCGAAGACGTTGCTGTAGAAAGGCCTGAAAGTGTCTCGTCGTCGTCTCGAAAGCGCAGTTTTAGCTGCTGAAACCTCCGACAGTCCTCGAGCTCGGTACGTTTACGAATGTGAGCAAGAATTCAATCGCCGTCATGACTTGGAAGAAAAGCTCTTGACTGTACATGAAAGTGCACGTGATGCAATGTAAGGTTAATATAGGAATTTTCCGCTAGCAAGCTTCCAAAGATGAATTTTCAAATAATATACATTTGATAAACATTGCCTCTCGCGACATTCATGTCATTAGATTCTGTAGCCATTTGCCAAGAACTGTTACCAGTGAAGGAAGCAGAAAGGGAAGAGTAAGAACCCACATTAGCATATATGTCCCCGTGATTTATTTTTCTCCCCAACTGCCCCTATACTAAATGCAATAAGTGCTCTCTTCACTCATTTTGAGGTTCCTTCATGCATGAAAGAGACTCATTTCACGCGGTGTGCAGGTGTTCTCGACAGCAAATTTGCCGATCGCAGTGCAGAGAGAAGGGGTTGAATCAACGGTCGGAGTCGAAAAAAGATTCTCGGCGGTGTCAGCAGTCTGTTACCATTATTCCCTTCTGTTATCTTGTCAAGTCATGCTTACGGATGAGATAATGACTCACAGATTGAGTTAGAGTTAAGCCAGATGAATTCGCTGAAATGGTTATTTTCCGGGATCAGAGATGGTTTCCAGTAAGCCATTCCATCTTTCGATCTCTCCAAAAGCCGGAGAAACAAGATCCGCGCTTGCTTAGCCATCGTGACCGATTGGAGAAAAAGTCGGAATATCATCCTGTTACCTTTGATGGTCCAATTCTGGAAAGGGCTGATCTATGTTCGCATTTCGACGAGGATTCGGGACAGCCTTCCAAACTTTTCCCGGTACTTGCCCAAACTCCGTCCCAAAACTGAGACACCGTTTACAAGGTACAGCTTTCAGGTAATCCTGTCAAGATGCATCCCGTCTGATGCAGTCTGCATTTTGCATCAACCCTCGCTCTTGAATGGAATGTGCATTTGCATCACACGACCATAATACAACTTAAAAACGATCAGATCCCAGACAGCACACACCCATTTTGGCCATGACTATGAGGGATTTCCACATGCATGATGTGTGCCAAACTTGTGCTTTCAACGTCGGGCCAACATCAGCCCCTACGTTGAGTCAGCGTCGGGAGCCCACATTGCGCTAACATTAAACGCCAACGTGCGGCATGACTTTCAGGCACTTAGAAGAGGCCTCGAATGAGCAAAAAATAGTTCTACTTCCCTACCGGGGACCTTGTCGCCGCGTCCCTCGCGGTCTGGCTGGAAGTTCAGCGAGTGCTGCCTGGTGCTGCCTCCTTCCGAGGCTCCTTCCGTGCAGGATTAGAAGCCCATCGTGACTTCATCCATCACTTGTCTGGTTCCTTTCCTGCTCGAGAGGTGCTTGTTACGTGAGATCCCTCGAGAGATTCGTTTTATCACGTCTGGATCTATGACACGCATGGGAGCCCGACACAGCCTCCACTATCAGATGATCAGTCCTCAAATTATCTTCACCCGATGGAGTCAGGCATCCCTTCCTCGGAATTTCGAGGAGTCTAAAGAGGCTGTTTAACCTGTTTAAAGAAGTGCAATGAGGAATTCGAGTGACTTCGTGGTCTGGGGGGAAACGGAGAGGTGCTACAAGAGCAGTACTGGGGACTCGTAGCGAGTCTTTTCTTGTTACCACTGAAACACCGGCTATTTTGACGCCATCTCGCTTCATTTGGGAGAACCTTCTCAGCAAATAATGCTACGCTGGACCAACGTTGTTTCAACGTTCCGAACGTTCATTCGATGTTGATTCAACGTTGAATCATCGTTATGTGTTTCATTTGTTTGCTGGGTTCCTTGTTCGAATAAGCTCGCCCACAGAAGGGAGAAATGTTGACTGCCGCACTAGCACCTTTGTGGGGCTTAACCGAGCAGCCCACTGCGATATTGCCCGAAGCTTCCCTATCCACAGCCAACCTGGCCCCAACGTGTTGCTTGGGATATCCTCTGATGTTTTATGAAAATTTCCGTTTCTGGTGCGCCCTATGCGTCATACAGCATGCATTTCGCATAGTTCAGCATGAATCATGCGTAACGCGACTCGTCCAGGAGCGAACTTCTGCCTGATGAACTTCTGCCCTGGGCAGGCATTCTGCCTGCATTGGCATAAAAAATCAGAATAAGAAATCCATGTGATTGGGTCCCTCGACCAACCACATGCATGCCAACCAACCAGCCAATCAATCAGCCAATGAGAGAACGTATTACAGCAGGTAGCTGCTTCCTGACTAGGCTCCCGATTCGGGATCTAGCTACGCCAGAAAGTCCAGTCCATTTCTAAGACTTCCTGCATTGCTAATTGGTGCTTTTGGATCAAATGGCCAATCAAGATGGCATAAAAAAGACCGAAAGTTCAGCTATTATGTATCGAATGAGTAATCTCTGGAAACTTTGACCACAACTTATACGCAGGAATGCGATCAGTTCCGCAGGGTCGGGCGATTGTGTACTCATAAATAATTTATTTGGAATTTCTATTAAAACCGTTTTCATTCCTCCTCGAGTGACCAAGTGGAACTCATCATCGAGGACGAGATGCTCCTGCTCTTAATAAGGAAATGAAATTCGATAAGCTACGAATTCTTTAGGCCGGGGCGCAATGAAAGTACCGATGAGCGGACACACCGGGGCGTGACCGAGCTCGCGACACGCACTTCGACACGCCCCGTGCGTCACGGCTGACCCCGGGTCAGAAGTGATCGAGATCGCGGTCGGGATGCAGGGACGACGTCATGACATCTCCACAGCTTCCTGGCATTGCTACGGGGGAATGCGAATTTTTTCGTCTGTTTCTCGCACGCGTTCGTGTGGTCTCTCGAGAATCCTTTTCGAGTGGATTTGAAATGGATTTTCTTGAGCCCTGGAGAAAAGCTTGCGAGTGCGCAGGAATCTCAGCGTGTGAAGGTTTGGAGATGTATTTATTAATAGAAGATTTGCCTGGAATGAACATATCAAACTTTTAGAAGTAAAGTCTCGGAGCCCGTGAAATGTACCTCGTCTTTGGCGATCGTCTCACTGACAAAGAGTAATAATATCTTATAATAATAATAATGAAGAAAAAAAAAAACAGAAAAAAACTGCCAACTCACTTTAGCAACAAAAAAATAATCTCCCGGATGAGAAGACTGTCGAGCGTGACTCGGTCGCATTGCGAATTCGGTCGAACAGAAAATTACGCATTCTTCTTTGCAATCCTCGTCGTCGGAAAGAATGCAGTCGCCAATCGTGGAATTTCCAGCTTGGAATTTGCAGGTCGATGCCTGCCCGGCACTTTCACCTCCGCGGAAAAGATTCGTCGATGCGTTCATTTGTTTCTGGTTTGTTTTTGTGAGATTCCATTGCGTCTTCGCGATTTCGATGCGGGTGGGAGCCGTGCTCCGTGCCTTTCGGTCGTGTTCGATTACGGAAAAGTCGTGAAAAGGGCGTTGGAAGCGGATCGTGGAGTCGTGACGGACGCTTTCCATGGGGGTTATCAAATTCTTGTCTTCAAATAAATGTTTTTCAGAAAAAAATATAAATAAAATCAATAAAATTAAAGTTTAAAAATCTCCGATAGAATTTGATTAAGTGTTCACACTCATCATGGATATAATTCCTGGAAGTTCCCGAAACCATGGAATGCTGTGGGATGAACTTTACACAAGCGTAGCTTATAGACCTAATAGTGGAAATGAAGCGTTTCATATGAAAATAATGTTAAATGGCGAATCAATAAGAAAAGTGATTGCTCGCCTGCTTCTCGTTTTCTGAGCTAAATTTCTTTCTCTGAGCAACGAAAGATTTATAATTTCACTGTCTTTTTCGTCGTTGAGGTGGAAGAGCCTATTTCCATCATTTCCGGCTCTTTCGGAAATGCTCCAAGTGGACGATAAAATTGTCATTTTCCTTGATAATTGCGGGCGACTGAATGCTGGTGAAGCTGATGGTGAGCGACCTCTCTCGACCTCCCCTTTTAAAATTTAAATTAAAAATTTAAGCTGTGACTTTTCTTTTATGCAGGTTATATTCGCGGTAGCAGCACGAGAAAGAAGCGTCACAGCATCCGAGCAATACGACGATCTCGCAAGCCTCGTGTACCAGGAGATGCAAGACGAGGAATCCGACCTGCGGGCGACCTCGAACCCGACCCCCGAGGTCACCGAGGAGGATCTGGAGCTGGAATTGGAGCAGATGCTGGGCGGCGCGGGGCGAGGTTTCGGAAACTTGACACTGGGAGGAGGAAGTACCACTTCTGGTATCGGTACCACCGTTAAGGGCATCCTCCCGGTACCCCAGGATTTCAGGGAGTACCCTGACATTTACGTCTCCGCCGTCTCCGACATCATCGATCAGGTATTTCCAGCGATAAAATATATGTATACATTCATTTAATGTTCAAGCGTTATTTGTCAGATGATATATGGGACAGCTTCATGGCCAACAGAAATCGGGCATCTTTCAGTCCTGAGTAATCCCATTGCTCATCGGGCTGACATTTCGGTGAAGTATGACTACGAACATAAGAATTCATGACTTATCTCTTCCAAAATATTGCTAGTCCTCGATGAACAAGAAAAAGAACATCAAAATTGCTAGTAAATTTTCGAGTCATGCTGAGATTCAAGCGCATGACGAGATATGAATGCACATATTTCATACATTTCAAAGGATCTCGAGATGACATTTCCTTCCATTTATCGACTTTTCTCCCCGTCAGGCTCCAGGGTACACCATGTCCGTGAGCTACGACACCTGGCCCGTGGATCTGGGGAAGAAGTTACACCTGGACGAGACGGACCGACCGCCGACGCTGGCAGCCTGGCCGACCAAGTCAAAAGGGCGCTATTGCGTGGTCATGCTGGATCCAGACGCCGTGGGGGAGAAGCATCAGGAAAGCCTCTTGTGGATGGTGGTGAACATTCCGGGGAACGCCATCCACGAGGGTCAAACCGTGGCCCCGTATCGACCTCCCAGGTCGAATCCGTTCTCGGGAACTCATAGATTTGTCTTTCTTGTATTCGAACAACCTCAAGAGATCAGCCTCAAAAACATCATCTCTTCCAGGAGGGAACATTTTTCAGCTAGGGATTTTGCCAACTTCTATCAGTTGGGAGGACCCATTGCTGCGAACTATTTCACCAGTTTTGCCGAAGAGAGCCAACATGGTCATTCAGAATATGATAACGTCCATGAACTGCAGGACACTTTTATGTCACTCATAGAACCACAAACTCTGAATGGATTTAAGCAACTGGTTAACAACGACACTAGTGTCAGTTCTCTGGATAGAGATGCTACTTTCAGGGCTTTGACTGAGTTAATTGGAGTAGGAGAAACTAATATGTCTAAAAGCAATGAATTGATTGGTTCTCTGGCCAAAGGGATCTGGAGGAAATGGTTGCACCTTCTGGAGAACAAGGACCACACATCCCATGACAGCAATAAACACCACCACTCTGAGATGGGAGAATCCAAGCAAGAGCACCATGAGTACCAAAAGCATCATCATGGTTCCAAAAAAATGGGCAAGAAGAAAGAACTAAGTCACATAACAGAAGAGCAGGAGAGTCTTGGACAAGCAGAAACATCAGAGGAGAATGAAGAAGAAAACCAAGTGGAAGAGACTGAAAAAGATGAAGCAAGGGAGAAGCAATTCAGATGGAGGGGCAAAGCGGATGCATTAGGGCCTCAAATTGAAGGAGATGCCTTCAGATCCAGATCATGGCAGGGGCCATATACCTACAAAGAAGAGCCCACTGAATGTGACATCAAAAGCATGGACAAGATCAAATCCCCACCAAGTAACAAGGAACAGATCCAAGAGGTTGAGCATCCATCTGGAAGGAGGCAGCAAAATAAGATAAAGAAAAAAGGTCTAAGGCAGAAAGGAAAGAGGAGAGGGAAATTGAGGAAGAAGATCGAAGCTATGCAAAGTGAGGAAGACATAGAGGAGGTGGAATGCAAAATGCAGAAACTGGAAGAAGAATATAAAGAAGAGCCTGAAGAAAAACAGATGAAAAAGAACAGGAAGAAACCAGAGACAGAGATGATTGAAGCGACAATCACAACCAAGGCCAGAACTACATCTCCAACAGTGTCAGTAACTGAGGCTGCAATGATGACAGCGATAACAGAAGAAACATTACCATTAGAAACTGTATGCATCGCCACTCCCACTGCCACACCATCAGTCAAGTCAAACATAGAGGAATGTATTGTCATTGATGGAACAACTGAAACCAGTGAGGTGCACAAGATTCCCTTGGATATTTGTGATAAGAAGCTAGAAATCTTGCTTGAAATTCTACCAGAACAGCATGACAGTATGATATCCACCCAAACTGCAGAAGTCAAATCAAAAGTGGAAGAATCTGGTCCTTGTTCAACTTCAAAGGAAAATAATAATTTTGGTAACAGCAGGCTATCAGAAGCACCACAGCACAAGGAGAGCAGGGGCAGAGATAAATGGAAGAAAAAGAACAAGATCAAGATGCGGCCTGCTTCTGAGATCACGAAGTCAAAATCAGAGCGAACGGGACAAGAAAAGCCCACCAAGCAAGAGAGGATGGAAATGACAAATGAAGACACAAAAGCTGTTCCTCCAGAGGTTGCGAATCTGTCCAATGATGAAGATTACAACAAGGCTGTTGTGAAGTGCCTTCATGCACAAGAATCTGGGCAAAGCTGTCCTACCCCTTCTAAGCTGTCAATGGAAGAATTTCAGGTTCCAAAGGTGAATGGCAGCTACCCAAAGCACATCTATGTCACCTTGGTTTCCAAAAGACCCGAGCAACAAAAGGTAGCAGATAAAATCAGGTTTGGCAGGAAACAGAAACAGAAACTAGAAGAAAGGGTCAGAAATGTGAAATTAGAGAAACATATTCTGGATCACACAAGGGGAACAAAAGAAAATTATTGATTCAATTCCCCACCTACTGCTGTCAGATGATGAAAGATCTGAGAAATTAAATGTCACATGAGAGACATTCAACCTTTGTATTTTGACTCTCACTCCAAAGTGACTTCGTACAAAAAAAGATAATCTCACAGACACATTCAGTAAAACACAACAATGTTATCTGAGGGGCTTGAGACCCAATTTTGCTCTGAGAGCATTGGCTTCAGCTATTTCATCATTCTCCCCCTTGGCATTTCGAGACTTGTGTGAATGACTGCCTTTGCCACGATCATGCTCCCATTCCCGTTCCCGTCGTTTCTCCTCCTTGCGACGATGTCGACCTGCAGCACAAAAAAAAACAAATTCCCATATAGATTATAAAAACTCACACAAAGAGAAAATATCACCAACAATGGCATTAAAATAATCCAAAATTCAATATGCCCCTTTCTGCCTCAAGAATTGCTGCTTGCCTAGCCTGCCACTGCTTGACCTCCCAGAGCCTCTGTTCAAAGGATGCTTATCCAAGCATATGAAAGAAAATAATGAATATGAAACTGTAACTTTTAACCTAGCAGAGTATTAAAAAAAATTACTTTCTTCATATGAATAGCATTTGATCAGATGATACTATTTATCCTCAAAACTGCGTGTGTACCCTTCTATAGACATAGCAATTGTAAAAAGAAAGGGTGGAGTTAATTTTGGCCTCTTGCACATGGCCCAATGCTTACATTCACAGGCATGCTAGCCAATGTCCAGCTGCACATGTCCACTTTATGGGTAAATTGTTCAGAACTAAAAACTGTGGATCAATGGCCTATGGCAGTTTGAGATGACTAGAGGCAACATTTTGTAACATCTGATTTGTATATTAAATATATTAAATCACGAAGCCGACTACAGGTCTCTCTTTTTTTTTTTGCTCAATGCACATGCAAACCTTTCTCAGGATTTTAGTCCTGCATCATATTTCTAATTTGATAGGTTAATACCAATGTAGAGTGTCAAAATAGTTGTTTCCTTGGCCATTTCCATTTGAGTGAGCATCCATCTCCCACGAACCTCCATAAACTCAAGGAAATCCTTTGTTAAGATCAGTAGGTGCTGAAATGATCTTGAGTGGCATACAGTTCCAATTTTAATTGCAAAACAATCATTGTGATGAGGAGATCTGGTAAAACTAGTTACAAAGATAATAAGAGAGACCATAAGGTTAGCCAACTTCCCATATAGGGAGTTCGCTAACCTTTTAGTGGTTCTGAATCCATCTCTGGAGTTGCCATGTGTTATGCAAAGGAATCCAATAAGTTTTGGCAACAAATTTTCCAATAAAAAGAGGCAATAACTTCCTTACTTTAGAGTTTATTGCCTCTGTTTATAGTAAACTAGTTAATTAGTAAATTAAGAGGGGGTAAAACGTCCTCAGCATATGTTCTCCCTATATTTCACAGCATTGCATCCTTATCAGTGACTAAATAACACACCCCTGACACATAGACAGAGGTGAACATTTCAACTGTGAACTGAAAGCTTGGGGGAGGTGCTCGTTGTGCAAAATGTTCCTCCACATCTCTTGCCAAGCTGCTATTTATTCCTCTATATATACTTAGCACTAATATGTGGGTTCATTAAACAGCACTGAACTCATTCTGCCATCTGATGGATCTGCCCATAGAGACAACTTACCAGGATCAGGAGATCTTGATCGATGCCTCTTTTCCCTGCCTCTCTCCCTTTCCTTCTCCCGCTCATATCTCTCTCGCTCTCTATCACCACCTTCTCGAAGACGACGACGTTCATAGTCCTTGTCTCTCTCATTTCCCCGGTATTTCTCTCTGTCTCGATCTCTTTCTCTATACCGGTCACGATCCCGCCTGTCACATATGAAAAACCTCATGCCAGGAATCCTTGAATCCAAGAGCTCTAGGACAAGAGTAATATGGTGGTAAAATGCTTCTTAAAAGACAATGCCTGAAGAACTAAGAAAGTTCACAAAATAAAAAAACACAATGATGGGCATGACAAAGTACCAGATTTACTTAGTCTTCATGCCAGCATAGAGATAAAGCACTACCCATGACTTATTACTCCATGAGCCAAGGAGTTCATTTTAACTTAGCAATCCTTTGCATATTGGCTTGAAACTGAGACCCTCTTTTCTACAATTAGTACTCATCAACTAGAGACAGAAATTGTGACCTAATTTTTTTCTAATGATTTTTTTTTACCTGCTTGAACATGTCACTGGCTACCAGAACAACTGCCAGAAAATGGCAACTGGCATAGATTTTCAGTTGCATTTTTTTCATGATGAAGCACTGATGAAAGCAAGCAAAATGTGAATCCACAATTAAGATTTCCTTCACAGGAGGATACCAAGAAATACAGATTCAACAGCAAAACAATGTATAAAAGGTGTAGGCTAAACTTCTGTTTGAGGGTAAGTACCAGTTGATTTCCTATAGAGTAAAACATATTTACTTCTATATCACAGAAAAAAGTTAATTTCAAGCTGATTTGAAGCTTTCATACTATATATAAGTACTTGGAATTGTAAATCTATAATGACCAATACAGAAGGATTTATTTTTTTCACCAAGCCTCATCAGTGGAATTGATTGATGATGCAAATAGAGGCACAATGCCCTGACTGGAAGCTTGATAGTTAATAGTGTAAATACAGTTTATTGCAGCCTACCTCTTGTCCACATCTCTATCACGTTCTCTGACTTTCTCGTTGCGGTGAGATCGATGAACCTTCTCGCTTCGACGGGGTTCCTGATGCCGAGAAGCCTCAGGTGCAGGCATGGCAATGTCATCCTCTTCTCCACTCTCATCCATGTCTTCAACATCATCTTCCAATGCTGACACACGAGGATCAAGCTCATTGTTGCCTTCATGGACCCATCGTTTCTGTGATCAACAGTGTGCAACATCTTAGAACAATGATCCAAACTGGTTAATGTTTACAGCAAAAAAAAAAAAACCCTCCTTACCTGAATCCTAGGCATTATGACATCATACACACGCTCTTCTCGAAGAAGACCATCAATGTACTCATCCATGTGTGTCAGACAGAAGTCTACAATTGAGGGCAAGGAAAGAAAGCAATGGCACGAACTGTGGAAATAGGCACATTGAATACTTGAAAAGGTAATACTAGCTACTTACCACCATTCCTATCTTGTACTCTCAGTTTGCGAAAATCATTGAGGAGTGGTTCCAAGTATTTGTAGCAGTCTAGTGAGGTACCAGTCAGTCGCATATAAAAAGCCCCCAATGCTCTCACATACCTGCAGGTAAAATATATCCCCACCAATATCCTGCTTTAGTGCAAACAATATCTTCTTGGTTAGAGAACAATGGCCTAGTAAGAGGCCTACCTGAATTAGGCCTACATGATAGCAAAAGCTGAGGGTGCACAGCCTAAAGTTGCAAAGTTTGCATATATATCTGCCATGCCCTAAAAATATGGCAAATAATAATCTCTAAACCCACTTGAAGTCATCCTGCTTAATGAACTCCACCACAATATCTTTCTCAGGTTGAATCTGGAGCATTTTGAGGACCAAACACAGGAATGGGGATGGTTTGATATTTCCTCCATAAACTCCTCCAAGATATCGAAGTTCCATGGCTTTGTCCACAAGTAACTCCGCTGTGAACACAACAAAGGTTTGAGGCTAGAAAAGGCATCATCATTCTGGTTACATATAAGCATATGAAGGGCTTTCCCTCAATAATCTGGATGAAAGAGGCTTTACTTTGGCAATTTTAAGCCTAGAATTATGCAGAGTTATGGCTTAAAACAATTTTTCCTGTTCTCTATTCAATGAACAAATAGATTCAATTCTCATATTATTTACAGGCATGAAGATGGGCACAACTAAAAGAACAATCTCAGATTATGTAGACTTAAAATTGAAATTAGACATTGCATAAAAAGAAGGATAAAATCGATTACTAAATGAGGGAGAGGGGAAAGATACTCAAAAAGTTTCCTATTTTATGTGAAAATGCTCTAGAAATTCATGATCACCATACTACCTCATAATTAACAACCTCAAATGGATTCAAATTTCCAGATTATGTATCCACACGGAGTATACATGATAGCACGAAAGTTTGATAATTGAATTCCATGATGACCTGTCTATCAAGACTGTCATCTGTTTGCCTTTGAATTTGTGGGCTACCACATATACGTTTTTCATTCGAGTAAGACGATCGACTCGGATGAGTCAGATGAGACTCGGGCAGTAATACATTGGATGTTCCTCATGCATTAGTGTTCAAGTGAAGTAAGAAACAGTACCGACGATTTTTCATGATTATACGTACTTAATGTTGGACGATTGCAAAACATTTGGAACAAAACTTAGACCCGAATGCACAAACCTCCTTTTGTTAACGGTACTTTAAGAATACATGGATTCGTATAGAAGAAAAATAGCTCTTTAACTAAATGGCCCCTTTATCTTCCTTAAATGAAGTTTGTGCATTCGGGCCTTAGTGTTTAGCTGCCGGGAAGTCTTAGACCTATGTCAGCGATCTAATTTAGAGCTAGTAGGTTAATCACAAACAGATATTACCTGTGAGGGCAAAGCATTCTTCTTTCCAGTAACGGCAATCGTAGATTCGGCATCTAATGATCTTCTCGATTAAATATTGCGGATTAGTTCCTTTGATAAACTTTGCGTCTTTTACTGTGCGATTCGCCATCTTGAATGGGGATAGAGCAACGAGCACGACCACGACCACAGTATCCCGTCTGACTGACAGTTCCTTCTACGACGAAACCTGAAAAGGGTTACATCGGTAGTGGGAAAAGCACTTTCAGGAAACAGAAATAACTCCTTTTGATGGAACAATCGATGTGGTTCGAATATGGAAACTGTATTAACAGTCCCCGTGGAGCAGACACATAGGATGACGTACAACATATTTTCTCAGGCTCTGATTGGTGGCTCGGTCTCACATGGTGCTCACGCGGGCCGCGCCTTTTCTGTTCAGCTCGCTGTACAGTTCTGCTTCACGTGCTTGTGAAGTTCACGTTCCAAGTTTCTAATTCAGGTACCAAGTTCAAGTTTGAGTGTTTGTTGTCAGATTCTCAGAATTCTTTCGATTCTCAAGCCTCTTGGTTTCCGAATATCTTGAACATGTAAAGTTGGACCTCTGCATCCAAAGGCATTGAATTTTGACCTCTTCCCTTGGATCAGGCCTGGGCTCTACTGCCAAGTAGATTAAGACTACATTATGGTGTAATTCAAAATACCAATTGTTCTTCTTGAGAGAAAGATAACTGGCCTGGAGGTGAGATAAGCATTTAGCTGATTTTGGTGGGTTTTTTGGTCCAGGTTGTATGTGGGCTGTGAAAGTGTTGATATACTCATCAGCTTAAGCATTGCTCATGCTTCTGATTTCTACATCCAACGCAAGCCAGGTCTTTGAAGCTTACCTGACCAAGAATGACCAATATCAATCAGCCAGTATCCGACAACATAGGGAGCAGTCAGTGTCCCCCAGAAGAATTTCTCTTCCCTTTCAAGCCATATGGTATTCAAGTGGCATTCATGAAGAGTCTTTACACTGTTCTGGAGAATGGCTCTCATGGTATTTTTGAAAGTCCTACAGGAACTGTAAGTTGCCATTGCATTTTAGGCTTGCCTATCCCCTACCATATGCTTTCACTAACCTTATCACCTCTAATTTTAGGATTAACGTAAAAGATATTCTCTCCCGTAGTCTGCATTCAATGTGCCTTCTCCTTAGGATTTTGCTGCTGGATGCAAGTTGCAAGTTTTACATATTGTCCTAATAAATCTTTATAGGGAAAGTCCCTGAGCATTCTATGTGGTTCATTGACCTGGTTACTGGACCATGAAAGGAGAAGGAAGGAGGTAATTGAAGCCTCCCTGAATAAGCAACAGTGTGATGAAGAAGGAATTGATGAAGATGGTTTGGACTGGTTTACCTCTGCTACAAAAAAGAGGCAGGAGAATGAGAAGAAAGCTGAATTAAGAAAAGAGTATCAGAAGATCCAAAAGAGAGAAGAGCGGATTCGAGAACTTAAAGAGAAGAGACAAAATGTTAAGGTTGATGTTTCTAACATCTATTCAGCTCAAAATTTACCAGTATTTTGTGCCAGGAAAGCATTGAAATTTCATCAGCATGGTAATACTATTTGATGCTTTTATATTTCTGGATACAGAAAGAAAAGTTCCTGAAAGTGGATGAGGAATTCAATTCCCTGTTTGGCAAGAACTCAGATGTAAAAGCAGCCCTTGCCAAAGAAATTGAAGAGCAAAGAAAAGGAATTGAAGATGGAATAGACTATGAGGAGCAAATGGCTTTGATAGAATATGACAGTGATGAAGCAGAGAAAGAGGAGGAAGATGAAGAAGAACCAGAAGAGGAGGACCTTGGCATCAAGGTAGGTGCATTGTATTGAGGACATGCAAGCTCATCCTGCCCAGTTGATGAAAAATTCCCAATGTCCCATAGCTGCCTTATTTGGTATCTTGTCCAACCTTGACCAATCAGCCATTACTTTAGCATTTATGGTACTTGCTCTCATTACCTGCATTTATTTTGGGATGACTTCACTTGCCTTCAGAAAGACACTGGTGCCAACAGAATTTCACTCAAAAGACTAAAATTGGCATCCAGTGAGAAGCTATCCCAGCAAACTGGACATTCAAAATGCTTGAAGTTCATTTCATGAATCCAGAATCTTAGAGAATGAATTGAACCAGTTTGAATTCTTCCTTAATATGAAGGATGATGAAGAACTTAAACCTTTGTATAATCCTGACTTGTGTTAAAATCCACCTTATGGTCATGCGTAAGGTGTGACTTTACATCAAATTTAAGGAAACCAATTGTGACTATAATTCTGTGGGGCAAGTCTGAGAATCTATGCCATATAAAAATACAAATTATGAATCCATATGAATCTCCACCTCCAAGCTGCAAAAAAGAACAGTTACAAGACAGAAAAATATTCCTAATTTTGCACACAAGAATGACAAGTTGATTTATCCAACTGTTTCTTTATCTGTTGCTTTCCTCCATTACAGATCATTTATGCAAGCCGAACACATAGCCAGTTGTCTCAGTTTGTGAAAGAAATACAAAAGAGTCCATTTGGCTCAGAAGTTCGAGTTGTTCCCCTTGCTTCAAGGCAGAATCTCTGCATTAATGAATCTGTACGTAAGCTTGGGAGCAGCAGCCTCATCAATGACAGGTGAATACAATAATATTCCTCCAATGCTGCTTAAGTTTGGCATTTGCTCATAATCAAAATAAGCTTGTCTGATATTCTCTCCAGGTGCCTGGAATTGCAAAGGGGAAAGAAAGGAAAAGGTACAAAAAAGAGTGGGAAGGGAGAGGTCTTGAAGAAGTGCAAGACATCTCTAGGCTGTCCATACCTTCAAGCCCATCTTGTAGAAGAATTGAAAGATCAAATCCTCTTGGAGACACCAGACATTGAGGGTATGGCTCTTCTTGGGAAACAGGGGAAGGCATGCCCTTATTATTCCAGCAGGAAAGCCATTCATGATGCACAGGTTTGATTCTATTGCTTTCACAAACTGCATTTGTTACGTGAGCCTAATTCTGTTAGAGATTGTTGATGCAGGTCATTGTGGTACCATACAATATATTGCTCCACAAAGCCACCCGAGAAGCAACAGGGCTGTCATTGAGAGGGAATATTGTGATTATTGATGAAGCACACAATCTCCTTGAGACCATTGGCAACATCCACAGCACTCAAGTCACTGGGATTCAGGTTAACCTTGTCTCAAAGGCTCTACCACTGCATTATTTTCTGTATTAGTCCTGATGTCAAAAATTCCTTGTCTCCCACAGCTATGTACAGCTCATTCACAGCTGACACAGTACCACAAGCGTTATGGCAAGCGTCTGAATGCAAAGAATGTGTTATATGTGAAACAGCTCCTTCAGATTCTCAGCTGCCTCATCAAACATCTGGGTGGAAATCCCATGCAAGACCCAAATGCACAAGTGGGAATCCACCACAACACTACAATTGCTCAGCTCTCTCGGTTCCTTGCAGATGCTGGTATAGACCATCTCAATCTGTTCAAGATCCTCTACTTTTGTGAGAAAAGCAAGATTGCCCAAAAGGTTTGGAATAGATCAGTAGATCTTTCTTAGCATTGTCTCAAATGATGTTACTTTAAAAGATGCACTGTAAATTAATTTTGCAGTTGTATAGCTTTGTGGGGAAGTGGGAAGGAGAAGTGAGAACTCATCAGAAACCAACATCTATACAGAATTTCATCAGACAGTTTGCAGATCATCAGCAAAAAAGTTTTGACATGAAATTGCTGGTCCTACTGCCATGCTATTCCCACTTTCTCATGGATTTAATTGCAATTTTACAGTAAAACAAGAGGAAGGGAAAGAGAACAAGACCAAAGAAGAGGAGGAGGAGAAAGAAGTGAAGTTGCATCCTAGATCGTCTCCACTGATGATTGTTTTGGAATTTATCCGTGCTCTCACAACCAAAGATGACCTTGGACGTGTGGTCACCCAAAAGGCTTTCACTCTTTCAAAGGGCTCTCTGAAATACTTACTGCTTGACCCTTCCATGCATTTCACCGACATTGTGAGAAATGCCAGGTATTTTAATAATTAGAACACTAATCCCTGAAGTACACCTTCAATATGGCCATATCTTGCAAGACAATTGCTTCACTCAGATCTGTGGTATTGGCTGGAGGCACGATGCAGCCAACTATGGAGTTCAGGAATCAGCTATTTCTGTCTGCTGGGGTTTCACCTGAGCAGATTGAGGATTTCTCTTGTGGACATGTCATCCCTTCTGAACAACTGTTGCCCATTGTCATGTCACAGGGACCAACTGGAAAAGAATTCCTCTTCAACTTTTCCAACCGGGATGACTCCAAAATGGTACGTGCTGAATTTAAGTTGCAGCAGACATGCAGTGGCAAGACTATGTCAATGGTCTGCTTTTACAGCTGGATGAATTTGGTCGAGTGTTGGTGAACCTATGCAATATTGTTCCTGGTGGGATTGTGGTTTTCTTCCCTTCCTATGAGTTTGAGAAGAATGCTCATGCACTACTGGAAAGAACAGGTGTCATTGAGCGAATAGCTAAAAAGAAACAGGTCAGCATTTTGTTCTCATGAAGGAGAAGAGACACCCCAAATAAAATACACGTTCAAACAAGGAAGAAAATATGGGGAGTGAGAGTGGGAGGGGGACAATTTTTGGACATGTTCCCTATTTAAGGCAGAAGCATGAGAAGTTACTTCAAGTGATATCAACATGACCTTTTCACCATCCTGGGCATATGCATAACCTTGTCCAGAAATCTTCCTTTTGCAGACTTTTATACAGGAGCACCATTGTCCATTATCATTATGGGGACCAATTTCCTGATGGTGCAACTATGTACTTGCAAGAAGCCTAGGCAAGATAATTGTTTTCAATTGTCGCCATACATTCAGTTGATAAGGTCAAACTGGTCTTTTCTCCCTTCTCATTTTCTTACAATTTTAGAAGAAATGCAAGAGTTGTCAAATGGTTATTCAGTACATGCAGAAAGGTTTGAGATCTCATGCAAACAGGGATGTCAATAACCTGTTTTAGGTACTAGTGAACTCTTCTAAGGGAGGGTACCTAATATTATTCAGCTCCTATATGCTTTTTCTCTTCTGCATGCCATTATCCTTGTAATGTCGGGCTGGAGACTCACCATAATCACTTTGGTGTTCGTACTTATCTGCAAGTACTGAATTGCATTGTTGGAACTCTTGGAATAATCCTCAAGTTATAGGCATCAAATTCAAATGGGAACAATTGGCATATGACTTAATGTTATAGTTTCTTGGAATACTGATTCTCATGCTTGCACCTTAACCAGTGCCTCTGTACAATTCCTGTTTCAACCTTTGTTTGGGCTTGTATTTCTCTTTGGTTGTCACTCTTCTCCTTTAGGAAAAATATTCACTTTCTAATTTTGTATGAGATTTTTTATGCTAGATTTTCCGGGAGCCAAAGAAGTCATCAGAGTCTGAGAAGGTCTTGGCAGAGTATGATCTCTGTGTGAGAATGAATACAGAAGCAACAAATGGAATAACTGGAGCCATTATTTTTAGTGTAATTGGTAAGATACACATCAGTTGTGAATTTGGGTATGTTGCTTTTGCCAGTTTTTCTTGTCATGCCTTGTAATGCAGGAGGTAAATTAAGTGAAGGCATCAACTTCAGCGACGACTTGGGTCGTCTGGTCTTGATCGTGGGCCTTCCCTATCCTAACGCTCAGTCCCCAGAACTCAAGGAGAAGTTGGATTATCTAAATCGTACTCAGGTAAGATGAGGTGATGTTTCTGCTCCTGTCATTGACAATGTGACTCGGGGATCCAAATCCAGAACAATATGGCCAATTTTCTGTTTATGACCAGAGTTCAGCTCCTGGAGGAAAGACTGCAGGCCAGCAGCACTATGAGAATCTTTGCATGAGAGCAGTGAATCAGAGCATTGGACGTGCCATCCGCCATCAGAATGATTATGCCACCATCATACTTTTGGATTCTCGGTAAACTCCAAACATCATGGATGACTTGTAGAGCTGACTACTTGGTCTCATAACTATACTGTGGTGAAAATTTGTGTAGGTATGCAAGGCAAGGCATTCAGCAAGGTCTCCCTTTGTGGATCCAAAAGGACATAATCATAGCAGACAAGTTTGGACCTGCATTTGCTCAAATCAAACAGGTCTGCTTTTCCAAGGTCTCATATGATGAAATCACATCATTCAAGAACAATGGAGTGACATTCATATTTGGTTCTCTTTGGTTCTTTATTTTGCAGTTTTTCTCAAAGATGAAGGGACTGTGATGGAGATTTTGTAGTCAGCATGAATACAGTACCTGATTATGTCCAGTTCAAAAATCAACTGATCCCCCCACAAATCCCAAGGATTCAAAAGCACTCTTTTATAATAATCTATATTTGCATGTTGTAAATGAATAAATCCAGTTTGAGAGGCTATCTTGTCCTGATGATTTATTAGGGTTTGTTGCTGTTTCTTACACTCCATGGCCTCACAAATGCTGCATGTTGAATATGGCTTTGTGAATGGCTTGAATTCTTCTCTAAAAACTTTTTTTTTTCCCTCTGAACCACCCTCAGAATCTTCCTCCAAATAAAAATTTTTCGCCTTTCAGTTTTAACCTATGGTCTCGTAAGGATTATTTTGGAGCACCACAATGTCTTCAGTTTGTCTCAGAATGACTTTTTTCCCATGGGGTCAAGGGAAAAGAGTAATAGGATTTAGAGTTGCACAGGATCGATGTTGTGAGATCGACTTGCAAGTTGAATGCTGGCAACATTTGTGCGTGTCACATGGCTCTGTCTTGGAAGCATAGATGTTGAAAGGAACTTCATCGACAAGACCATCCATGGCTCAGAGAGAGCCAAAAGTTCTTTTCAATTTTTTACTCTCTTCCATCATGCTAGAAAACCCTGGCTTAAGCAAGGCGTCTCAGGAAGTTTACTATGGCCACCCGAGTCGTCCTACATGCTAAATAAATGGCCGACGGCTCTGTTTCAAAATTAATTTATTAAAAGAGTGGGTAATTAGAAATTACTTAAACAAATGTCTCTTTCGACTTCATCTCATAAATCAATAACACGAAATGCACAACAATATAATTTTTCGTATTTCCGCCATTTTCACGAATGGGACTCTGCCAGTAGAGGCAGTGGGAAAGTTAAAATCGGGTGTTGATATAGAGAGGCTTCTCTAAGCGCCAGCTTCGGTGTTCACACCAACGCCAACACACGGAATCCAGTGAAAAATAGCGTCACCTCGTCTCCGTTTTCATTTCCCGCTCAGGTTCGCGGTTTTTCATGAAAGTGATCTGCCCCCCGAAGGGCCTTCCATAGCTTCAGGACTGTTTTGCTGTACCGACTGGATGTCTTGGACGAATTACGATGAAAAGAAATAGCTTCTGCTATCTGAATAGGAAAATTCTGAAGGAATGCATTGATATTTTCAGTCATTTAATCATTCATTGTCCGTGCCCTATAATTCAGGATGCTGAGAAAAGTAGCACACCTATTATTAGTCTGTAAGGCATTGCATTCGCGAATGGCTTACATCGGAGCATGGACCGAACGGTGGAATGAGATCGATCCAGAGAATTTCACGTTCGGAAGACTTCAGCAAAGTCAATTTGACAGAGCATTTTAATTTCAAATTCCTCGACTTCGAGGATTTTTTCGCGAAGCGATTCCGCATTTTTCCAAACGACTGCTTGCTTTTCCTATTAATGTACATTTTTTTGCCTCATCGTGATACAAAAAAAAGGAACTTTTTTTGCACACGACTTTCCTCAGCATTCCGGTGACTTAGAACTATTTTCAAGAAGTCTGGCGTAATCCATTTTTACGTTTCGAGTCGATCGTGAAACTCAGCATTCGCGGATTTTCACCTCCGTTACTTCGATTGCAGTTTCACGATAAATTTCTGCGGACAAAAATCTTCAGAAAAATCTGGCGACGGATCGCTGCATGGAAACGAGATTCTCTCCGCGATTAGCCCCCCCCCGGCGTTAAGCCCTAGGGATTAGCGTAACACCTAATGAAGCATAATTCCCTTGAGACCAACGCCGAACTGGGATCGAGATCGCGTTTCCAGTCAAACGTGGCGTCACGCTAACACCGCAGGGCGAGTTCAAATTTCGTCGTCGAGGTGTGGATTTCGCGTCAACACGGAACACTGAAAGTGTTTAAATGATTTTATTATTAAAATGACTCAAATTTAGACGCCAAACTTACCGTTACCTGGGTATGGACTGGTCACGTTTTAATACTATTTGGTTTGGCCATTTTGAAACTGAATTGCCATCTCGATTCGGCACGAGCCAAAACGCGATCGGCAGATGATAAACTTCCATTTCGTACAAGTCGTTCGTTCAAATTCAAATTAAAAAAAAAACGAATGCCAGACGGTTCTAGACCCGGAAATGGCCCAGTGGAAAGCGGGACCCGCGGAAATTTTCTCATTTCGCCGCGATATTTTCGTTTCGGCTTCGTCGACGTCGGAAAATGGAGTCTCGCGAAATTCGGCGTTTCCGCAGAAATGGAGTCGCTCTCTCCATAGAATCCACTGAGCGTCGTCGTTTCTCAGCTGCCACCCGGAAATGAACGCGAATTCTCGGCCGGAACCAAATCCGTCCAGTTGATTTTTTTTCCTGCCCTCTTTTTTGCATGATGTACACGAGTGAAGAGTGAAATAAGCATGTTTCACGGAACATCCAAACAAAAGGTGACATAAAAAAAAAAACAAAAAGAACTGAAACCCTGAAGTTTCTCCCTCTCCCCGCACGCACACACACACACACACACACACACACGCACACACACACACGCACGCACACGCACGCACGCACGTGCGCACAAATGCGTATCGAGCCGATAATGAGCAGAAAATTAGAGCTATGAATTGCAGCTGAAATGGAACTCAGTGCTCATTCATTTGAAGGCTGGGAGAGAAGTCGTTAAAAAACCATCAGGATGCAATGGCCCTGCACGTGGAGCGAAGTTCCCCCCTTCCCCCCCCTTGCCCCCCCAGGGGGAAGGGGGGAGGGGGGGGGGGAAAGAGAGACGGTCCGCGGAAATCGAGAGGACGTCGTGGGGGTTTCGCTGCGAACCGTCTTTCATTACGCCGTCACGTGCCGTGGCCGCAAGTCTCTCGGTCCCCTTCCTTCCAAGTCTGCCCTGTGGCTGCTGCCACGGTCTGCCATGTGAATCACCCCGAGTCTGGCTTTCAGGTGATCACACGTTTTTTTTTCCTTCTTTTTGATGACGGATCGTCATTCGAGATCCCAAATTTATTTATTATAAAAAAAAACTTTATTTATTTTAAATACTATTTGGACTGTTTTGCGTTTTCTCGCGAGAAATACCCGGAAACTTCGCAGAGACGAGAAAGAAAAAAAAGCGGGGAAAAACCTCGAGGAAGATGGAACACGTGAGAACGATTTAAAGGCTTCGAGCCCCCAGGCGACGGAAGGATGAGTTCCTGTTCGCTTCCAAGATGGCTGCCTTATAAATAAATAATAATAAATGGGAAATCGATGGTTGCGATTCTCGGTTGTGAATGCAGTTTCGGGTTTTCCGTTAAGAAGGCCCGAAGCCAGTGGCTGGACAAGCCGGTGGCTGGACAAGCCGGTGGCTGGACAAACCGGTGGCTGGAGACGCCGCGCGAGCCAGACGTTTTTAAAACAATTTCTTTTTTTTTTCCAAATTTTTTTTCTTCGTTCGTCGTCCTTGAGTGCGGTTTGGGACTCGATAGGCGCGTTTCTTCTCTTTTTCCCTCTCGGAACCGCGAGTCTGCGAGGGTTGCCCTTTCGACGTCTGGCAACCCTGTCCGGCAACACTGCGTTGCGCGCTTTCGATTTAACCCTTTCAGACCTGAATTAAGGCCACTATCGGAAATAATATTCTTTTTTGCATTTTTGAGCTCTTCCGCTATTGTAGTTTAAATATTTATATTTTATATATCGTTTTTATATTTTGTATAAATTTACCATATCATACCATATATAATATCGTATACATTTTTATTAGATAACTGAATATTACAAAACTGATGGGCGAAAGAAGGCCTCCGATGGAACTGATTTGGCACAAATTGGGCGCAAAGTCACGCGAGAACCCCAAGAAATTGCCATAGACGCAATGTGAATGCGATTTCCATCGGAGTGGACGCCGGGTCGGAAAGGGTCAAAGACGAGGATTTTTGAGTAGGAACGTTCGCGAACGATTTCGCGCCGGGCGTGGGCGCAAAACGCTCGCGAAATCTCGCGATCTTTCTCCGACTCCCAAGAATATTCTCGCGCGTTTCGCGAAAATCACCTGCCGAAATTTCCTCGCAAAAAAAAAAAAAACCGGTGCCGAGCAAGACGCACGAGGAAACACAATCGCATCCTGCCCGACTTCGCTCCGACTTCGCTCCCTCTCGCTCCGACTTCGCTCCCTCTCGCTTCTGGTTCATTCCCCAACCTTTGAGCCAGCCGAGAAGGATTCCGAGCCGGAAGCGGCGAAGACGAAGGAACTTCCACGCGCGTCGAGGAATGGCGTGCATATCATACAGGACGCATATTATGCATATTATGCAGGACGCATGTTATGCATATTGTGCAGGACGCATATTATGGATCGCCGAGGAAATGCATTTCGTTAATTATGATGAAAAAACGCATGCTTACCAGTACCAGCGAGACCGTGATGAATCCTGTCGAAAAACTGGCGCATTCGAAGGGAAAACCCTCGCACTTCCAAAGAATGCATTTCTTGCGTTCGGGTTATTGTTCGAGACGAATGCCAGATCGTAGCTAATCTCTAATCTCTCTAATCCCGCCTCGACTCTCTCGCGAACGCCGATCGCGCCTCTACGACTAAGCATTCCTCTCGCTAAAGTCCTACGAACGCCCTCGCACACGAAGCCACACGGAGCCACACGGAGCCACACGAAGCCACACGGAGCCACACGAAGCCACACGGAGCCACACGAAGCCACACGGAGCCACACGAGGCAGGGGCTAAGGGTTCGTTACGTCTGGCCCCTTTCTTCCGCTATATTCTTGGAAAGAAATGTGCACGGGGCAATGTCTCTTGCGGCCGGAAACATTCTCGAAGCTGGCAAAATATCGTTCAACTTTCAAGCTCTCTCGTGACATCACTTAATTGTCCCTTGGCAGCCCTTACCGCGTTATTATTATTATTATTATTATTATTATTATCGCGAGGATGCATTCCGTGATTCTGTGACCTTAATCCACATCGGAAAAAAAAAATCTGGCACGTCGCCTACAATTCGCGAAAACAACGATCGAATTCCGTCTTCGTCCTTATATCGCTTCCGCCATCGCGTTCATTTTCCTCGAGCATCGCATCCCACGCAGAATCGCGAATCCGGAGCACCAGCGGGGGCATTCGGGGACCAGCGGGGGCATTCGGGCCCGAATGCCGAACAAGCGAGATAAAACCGACTCAAAGCTGAAGAGTCCCTTTTCGTCCACGGGAGTTCGTGGATTATTAAATTATGTTAATTAATTATGTCAATTAAAAGATATTTTGGCATTTGGGCCTTAAAATGTATATATTTATATAAAATTGATATATATATATATTTTTTTTAATCGGATGGTAATGTTGCAGGCATGGACTCGATGCTGTGGGACGCGATCCCTCCCCCCTCCCCCTCCTCCTCCCCCCCCTCCTTCCCCTCCTCCCCCCCCTCCTTCCCCTCCTCCCCCTCCCTCAAGGTGGACGGCTTCGACCAGGAACTCTGCCTCGAGTCCGATTGGGATTTCCTCTCGTCGTTTCCCCACTCGGAGTCGTTTCCCTTCGATCTGCCGGTCGCGGAGGCGGGTCGGGATGTTTCGTGCGGGATGTTCGCGATGGGGATGCCTCAGGTGGCTGGCCAGGATCATTCTCTCTCAGGTGGGGAATTCTCTCTCGGGTGGGGAATTCTCTCTCGGGTGGGGAATTCTCTCTCGGGTGGGGGTTCTGACTCTTGGGGTTGGTGCGTTGCGGTTAATTATGAAAGTTTATTGAGTTTTTTTTTATGTTGAAGGCGTGGGACGCCGCGCTCGATCTCGCGGAAGAAAACGCGAAGCGTCTGAGGGTGAATCGAGTCGTTACAGGCCGTTTGCCTCGCCTCAAGAAGTCTCTTTCCTCATCTGAGAATTCCCCCGAGAGGGAAAGTACCACTGCGGTCGCGGCTCGCATTCAAACCGCTTTTTTTTTTTTTGGGGGGGGGGGGGGGGGGGGGGAGACGTACATTTGCGTTGAAGATCTCACTCTGCCGAAACGGAGTTTCCCGTCATTCTCTAAATGTAACCAGAATTTCAAGGTCTTGTGGCTTGGTCAACTTTCTTACTCGGTTCTTACTCGGATCCGGTCGTGTTCTTATGGCAGCAGGTCATTGAGGGTGTCCCCATTGGTAAAAAGAAGCAATTTTCTGCGGTTTTCCCGCATATTAAGCGTATTTCACGGGAGAACAGAATTGCATCTCAAGTACGAAAGTCTTGATACTAATTTTCAAAGGAGCAATCGATCCGCCTCGATTCGAAATACGAATCTCATTCGTATGAATTGTCGATATCGATCGTGGTAGAATTAAAATTGCAGTCTAAGCGATAGAGACGCATTCGACATTTCGATTTCTCTTTCCATCCTCATAAATTTCGTAAATTTTCCTTTCTCGTCCTTTGTCGGTCTTCCTTGCTAAAACACTTCCGACGCCGGCAACGCCGAGTTGCTTTTCGAGTGGGTCGGTCCATTTTGCCTGGATCGAGGCGATCGACGGAAGATGCAGCCGGCTGCATGCGGGGCCACCGGTTTTCATACTTTGGCGTAATTAAAATGGAGGAAGCGATGTGGCAGAGCGTACATTCGCGAGATACGAGGCGCTCTCGTTCCTCGCGATAAGCAGGCGATGCTTGTTAAGAACTCTGGATTCCCGCACGCGATGCGTCTGACGTCATCCCGTTCTTCCGTGAGATACGGTCGAGGTGATCAAAATGCATGTACCTCTCGAACGAAGATCACATTCGACGAGGAAACGATAATTCCATGTTTCCCCGTCCAGAATCGATATGGTGCAGAAGGGGATCGGACGAGTTTCCGGACGTTTTCCTCACCAACGGGGAATCGAGCCAAACGATGTGGACGGAATGCCACAATTCGGATTCCAATTTCTGGGAGTTTCCGATCGCGAATCCGAGTCCGGACGAGGGCGAGGGCGAGGGCGAGGGTCGAGAGGTGTGGCTGTCCCAGGAGGATCTGAACGTCTTGGGCGTGGACCTTCACTCTCTGAGTCGAGACCTGCAACTGAAGCGGGGTCAGGCGAGGTCGGACGAGAAGAGCTTCGCGTGCGGGCACCAGGGATGCCGGAAGGTCTATGCGAAGTCCTCGCACCTCAAGGCTCACATGAGGAGGCACACGGGGGAGAAGCCGTTCGTCTGCGACTACGTCGGATGCGTCTGGCGGTTCTCGCGATCCGACGAGTTGGCGCGGCACAAGAGGTCCCATTCCGGGGTGAAACCCTATCTGTGCCGTGTCTGCGACAAACGATTCTCTCGATCCGATCACCTGGCGAAGCACAATCGCGTTCATCTCCGAAACGGGAGCGGCAGACGAGACGAACAACAGCAACATCGGCAACGACAAAAACTAGGACAGCAACAGCAACAGCAACAACAACGACAGCAGCCGCCTTTTCCGACGTTTCCCATTCCTGGTGCAATTCCTGGATTCGACACTCTCCTTGCCATCAGGGCTTGAAAAGCTTTTTCCTCTTTGCCTTTCCCTTGTAACAGTTTTTTATATTATTATTTGGAGTCGGCGGTGTCTGGGTTGGCTCATGCAATCACCTGTGTTTTCGATTGGGGGAAGGGGCACGAGGTGAGGTGACGCGGTACAGAAAACGTTGCATTGCACTTCCCCTCCAAGCCTCGAGACCGCGTCGAAGGAGCCGCCGAACCCGAACGCGCTCGCGGCGATCGCCTGTCACCGCGATCTCCTTCGTCTCTTGCCGAGAGGCGTCGAGGCGGGGACGACCGTCGGGGCGATTCGAATTCGCCTGATTGTGCTTCGCGAAGATGTCTGTGGCGGGACGATGGCGGGGCAAGACAATTTTGACAAACTTTTCACCGTTGTATTACAGCAATAAACCGTGATAATTCGATCCAGTTGAATTGCCTTCCTCTTTCGGTCTCGTGTGCGAAACCCTGGATATTTTTCCTTTGCATCTTCCGTATCCCCGAGTTGCATCGAGTGCTTTCATTGACCCATGAGCTCTGAATTCTCTAGGGTGACGATGCCATTTTATTATGTTTCGCGTTCCGAAACATCGGGAATTTTCTTAGGGTTTTGGCTGGTGAGCAGCCATGAAACCGACAGGCGACAAAATCGTTGACTAAGGAGAAATCCATTTGTTAAAATCTGAAATTGGAAACGCCAATTTCTAGTATATCCTGTTGACCTATGTGCCCACGAAAAAATGACCAACTTGTTATAATGACGCGGACGATCATCATCGTAAATCACGTCCAAGAATGAAAGGACTTAAAGGACTTCTCGACGATGCATGGGCCCGTCTTTCGTAGCCGAAACGAGAAGCTGCGTTTCGCAATTGCATAAATAAAGACATCACTTCGTTGAACACCGTTTGGCACGAAAGCATTCAGGGCGATCGAGAGGAAAAGGCCGTCGGACCTCGATAGAGTTGTAAACCTGCGCTTACGAAGTGTGGGATGTGATGAACGGATGGCGTGAGGAGCTGGAAAGCAGGCTCATGGGGACACAAAGGAGTCATAAAGAGAGGAAAGAAGGAGAGGAAGGAAGGGAGGGAGGTGTGCTCGTTATGTGCTCCCTTCGGGTGAACCCAGGGATAAAGATCAAACCCGCCTCCACCTGTACGTATTATCGCGGAGGTTACGTTTGACGGAATCGATCGGCGAGGGGAAACGTCTGTTATTCGGTTCCAGGCCGGCCTTCAATCGCCACGCTGCTGTCACGTCCTCCCACTACCATTGTGAGTCGTCGATCGCCACGTTCCCTATCGTAGATCCTCGTGCATGCGTTATGAGGAACGTGAGAGGGGAGCCACCTGTAGAATGGCGCCTTCTCGTGCTACGGGGTGGCGGTGGGCGCGTTGCACGATAGCCCTTACTTGCTCGATGGTTCTTCGGGACCGCCGACTTCCAAGAGGGCTGCGGTAATTCCTTCATCGGTTTGAAGCCTCGCTTATTAATTATTCTTGCCTGATGGTTATGTCGTTTTGCCATAATAATCCAAGCCATCTGGCAACTTGCAGGCAACATGAAAGTTAGACGGAAATTTGAGGTTTCTGAAACTTCGAAGAGTAATGATCGGGCATTCTTTTCCACTCCATTTTCCCCTAGATTTTCGCAAGTTCGATTACGGAAAGTACAGGTAGAATGGAAATTTCAAGAACATACGACGGAAAAGGATTGGATTGTTTTCAAGCAGGATAGTTTTATGCAATGAAAAATTTTAATTTAATGTAATTTAACTTAATTTAAACTAATTTTTACGCTTCCTAAACCTTGTTAAATCCATAGTACTAAATAGAATATATTTCCCGAACAATTTTTTTTTCTCAGAAGAGAGAATTGAAAAAAAAAATTGTTTGGCTTCCAGAGTCAGCACAAAGCTCACGAATCTGTACAGCTCTGCATGACTACAGGACTTTCGATCGTGCAAAATTTCATGCGATTTCGCATGAGTAAAAATCCTATAGTAAAAAAAAGAGGCTATTTCACGAAACTCGCATTGTTCATACGCTGATAAAAAAGTCCCAAAAGTCCAAAAAGTCCCAAAAGTCCAAAAAGTCGCGCAAGTGACTCAAATAAGTTGAAGGAGGTGCTCGAGGTGCTCGAGGTGCGCGAGGTGCCTCGCATCTACGTACTTCCGGATCTGTAAACCTCATCACAATGATTGGTTTTCAGGTAAAGTTCCAAAATGTAAGCACATTACTGCACATCGCTAATCGTCTCACACCATGAAACGTGAGTCACACGATCGTCTCGATTTTCATCATCGACAAATTGTTGAGAAGTATTGTGCATCGTACTTTAATCAACGAATTTTCTCGAAGATCAAAGTGGCGCCTTTTTAAAAATCTTTTCTTCCGTTCGCAGGCATCAATTTGCTTCTTTTTTTTTTATACGTTCCGGTAATAAGGTTCGGGTCCGTTGAAGCCTTTTTTTCCTGTGCCAATACTAAATCCTTGCAAATGTTCCAACACCAAACTCGAGGGAGGAAAGTCCATCGATCCATCTAGCAATCGGCGGGAGAGAGAAGAAGCCACCGACTGCCACGGCGTTTGCAAGAAAAAGGGAAAAATGTGAAGGCAACGTCGGATCCTCCCGACAGTCCGCATGGCATTTTCGTAACCCCCCACCCCTTAGGGGGGTTTCCATCGATTCCAGGCAGTTCCTATTCCACGTGGGTGTTTTCGTGGATCATCTTATGAAGCGGATCCTTTGGAAGTCGAGTTTTCTACATTTTCCACCGAAGGGAAAGGGTAGGAATTCAATCCGAAAAGAGTGTAGGCGATATTGCAACGGAAAATGGCTGCTTCCGTCTAATTTTTGGCGCATAGGCTGACGTTCGCGCCAATTTCGCCAGCACACGAGGCTCCATTCCCACGAGACCGCGTGCCTGCGATTCCAGTAGTTTTCCGGAGATGAAGTCAGTCCACGAACTTTCCGACTGGTCCTCGCACACACTATATCAAAAATTGACGTTGGCCTGTCCGTACCCGGGAGGGGGGGGTTGGCTCACTTTCGGCGAACGATTGAGCCAGGTCACGCTCGTGCCGTTGTTGCCCCATCCACTGGGCGGCACATGGCAGCAATGGCTTATGCGCTGTTGGCCCAACACGGAGGTCCGAAGTTGAGCCCAGCAAAAGTCTCAAGCAAACCCGTCTCACGTCTACCCGAACGAATATGGTTCTCAAACCGGGGTGAGGAGGAACCTAAGTCGTCGTGGTAGCGAATCGCTCCCCGATTCGACTGGAACGATTCCCCCGTGCCTTCGATACGGTTCCCTGTGGTTTCCCACGTCGATCGCAGAGGAAGACGATGGAATTTCTCGACGCATTTGTTCGAAGAGGTAACCTGAGGTAATTGCCTGGGGAAACACCAGGCAATTCCGACCCGAGAACGATTCTACTTACTACTCGACGCCACGCTGGCACTTCTCACCGAATGGGAATAATAGACGTTGCGTGGAAACCTGTCAGTTCGTATCTGAATGGGACGATGAGCGTTACAAGGGCTTATTCTAAAGGTTTGGTACCGGCAGGGGATTATTATTCGATGAATTAGGTAAGAGAGACTTCTTGACTAGTACTGGGATCTCGCCCAAATATACTCATTGAAGAAAAGCGGGTTAGAGATACCAAATGGCGGGTAGTTACCTCTCCCAGATGCACACTAAATGAATAAATGCAGTTCCGTGGTTTTTAACTTTTCTATATTTTTTTCCGTTTCGTGGAAAGTTGGCTCATCGTTGGCATAATTGCGGGGGAATGTGCGGATTTCCAACAGCGAGCTACTGTTGGCCTGATGAAAGGCCAATCAAGTGCGATTTATGTATCGTTGGCCCAGCTATGGCTTATATGGCTATGGCTTTTCGGCGACGCGTATATACGTCATAGTTGGGCCATCACTGGCACATGGTTGGATTACGGTTGGCTTAAGCCGGCTTACGGTCGGGCATGTCAAGTTGGCCCTTCATCGGGCCAACTTTGCCTCATTGTTGGGAAACCGCACATGCCTCAACCATAAACCGACTTTCCGAAACGTCAGACGATCAACAGGGACGCATATGTGACCACCTTGACAGGTATATGAGTTCGCTTTGGCCGGGTTATTCAGAAGAAGCGCCATGGCAAACGAGCGACAGAGGTGCTGCTCCAGCAGTGCTCGCTCACAAACGAGCAGACGGACCACAGAGGCAATCGCCAGACTGCGGTTCCGGACAGTCTAGCATCCCCCACATTACTCTGCTTTCGTCCCCAGAGATTCCTGGTTATTTGGGAGCATTAATAAGCCTTTGTGGGGACGGCACTTCGCCGCCACGGAGGCTCTACAGAAAACTGTCCGGCGTGCATGCAGAACACACCGAAACAATGGATTGCAGATGGCATCCAGAGGCTCCCACGTCGTTCGAAAGGTGCATTGAACATTGAGGGGGACTTTGTTGAGAAGCTGTATAAGTGAAACCTGCGTTCCATCACACGTATGTGTGTGAGTGAGGAATTAAAAATACTTTTTGACCGCCCCTCGAAGGTCGCGTAGCTTATCGTGGAAGTAGAAGGATCCTCCCACGGAATTTCCTGGTTTATTCCAGGGCTAGGTTACATCTTCAGAGAAATGTTTCAAAGAATTCAATCGTCTTCCCCTGAGATCTATGCGAGAAACCATAAGGAACTGTGTCGAAGAGACTCATTTCAGCAGATTCCGCGAAGTGACTCCCCGCTACGACCACTTTGGCTCCGTCTCACGCCGGTTTTCAGAACCTTCTCGGCCACATTGGCTCATCTTCGGCGAATGATTGGCCTGCCAATCATTCGCCAAAAAAGAGCCAACTTCCCCAGCTATGGCCAGGCTGTAAATAAACGAAAACTGAGGAGTCGCTGCATCCGAATCAATACAGGGCAACGCATCATTTGAGACGAAAACGGCAAATGCGAACCGAAGAACTGAAAGAGAAAGAGCTGCCTTCATTTAAATATTAAATATATTTAAAGT